AGATAAGAAGAGACGGCCCAAGATGTAATGCAATGCCAAAGTCTGGGAGAAGTTATTGAATTTCTCAGCCTTGCCAATGAACAAAGGTTAGGCTGATGGGCAAACCTAGAGCTTCGGTGGAGACGATCTGTTGGCCATTCAAAACACAGAGTCAGCAGGGTCTCTGTTCCAAACTTACAGGCCCCAGAAGCCCCGAGTCAAACCCGCCCTGGCCTAGTGCGCAAATAGAGGATACTAGACCCTGCAAAGCGCCCCCCCCCGGAGCTACGTTTTACAAGAGGACGTCAGCCGCAGTAGGAAAAAGGTGGCCTTTTTGGATTTGGGGAAAACAACTGGACAACTTGTACTGTAATTCTGTTCTCGCATTTGCTTGGTGTTTCTTTTTCTTTGAATTGTCCGGATCCTCGAGTGCCAGGTGCAGACCCGCAATCAATAGCGAGAAACTCCAGTCAATGCTGCCTCTCCTTTTTGATAGCTGATTCTTTTGTTACATTCTCGTTACTCTATCTCGCCATCAACCCTCTCCTTTTTGATTGGCGCCTCAGCTACGGATACCCTCGACTTACAACCACAACTGCGCTGGCTTTCTTTGTCGCAAGTAGATCATTATGCCACCGAAATCGAGATTCACAAGGCTCGATGCCTTTACCAAGACGGTCGATGAGGCAAGAATCCGAACGACAAGTGGTGGTATCGTCACTATCGTGTCGCTACTAGTGGTCTTGTTCCTGTCATGGGGTGAATGGGCAGAATATCGACGCATTGAAATACACCCGGAGCTCATTGTGGACAAGGGAAGAGGTAGGAAAGCCTTTGCTATTCCTAGGAATAAAGCGCAACTTCCGCTCGAATGCTGACATACTGTGGCTCACAGGAGAGCGCATGGAGATTCACTTAAATATCACATTCCCCAAGATGCCCTGCGAGCTCTTGACTCTTGACGTTATGGATGTATCTGGCGAACAGCAACACGGAGTCATGCACGGAGTGAACAAGGTCCGCCTCCAGCCTGCTGATCAAGGCGGCGCCGTTATCGATATTAAGTCTCTTGCCCTACACGACGAGTCCGCTGACCATCTCGATCCCTCATACTGTGGTGGCTGTTACGGCGCTCAGCCTCCTGCCAATGCTCGAAAGGCTGGGTGCTGCCAGACTTGCGACGAAGTCCGTGAAGCCTATGCGCAGTCCTCGTGGGCCTTTGGCCGTGGCGAGGGTGTTGAGCAGTGCGAGAGAGAACACTATGGCGAGAAGCTGGATGCCCAGCGCGAGGAGGGATGCCGTATCGAGGGTGGTCTGCGTGTGAACAAGGTCATTGGTAACTTCCACTTTGCTCCCGGCCGAAGCTTTAGCAGCGGTAACATGCACGTCCACGACTTGAAGAACTACTGGGATGTCCCTAAGGGCAAGTCGCACGACTTCACTCACTATATCCACTCTCTCCGCTTCGGACCTCAACTGCCCGACAACATTGCCAAGAAGGTTGGGACCAAGAGCTCGCTTTGGACCAACCACCACCAGAACCCCCTCGACAACACGCGCCAGGAGATCCACGACCCCAACTTCAACTTTATGTACTTCGTCAAGATCGTGCCTACCTCCTACCTTCCTCTCGGCTGGGATAGCAAGGGTATCAAGATTGCTGGTCTCTTGCAGGACGACAACGCTGGCCTTGGAGCCTATGGCTACTCTGAAGATGGCAGCGTTGAGACTCACCAGTACTCTGTGACTAGCCATAAGAGAAGTCTGGCGGGTGGTAACGATGCCGCTGAGGGCCACGCAGAGCGTCAGCACACCAGTGGTGGTATTCCTGGCGTATTCTTTTCCTACGTAAGTACATGTATCCTGACACGAAGCATATCTTGAAGCTAACATCTGTCTAGGATATCTCGCCCATGAAGGTCGTTAACCGTGAGGAGAAGGCCAAGACCTTCAGTGGTTTCCTGGCCGGACTTTGCGCCATCGTTGGTGGAACCCTGACTGTTGCTGCAGCTGTGGATCGAGGGCTGTTTGAGGGTGCGGCCCGTATCAAGAAGATGCGAACCAAGGACCAGTGAAGGGGAAATTAGCCCGTTTATGTCTACAATGCGAGATCAGCTCGGTTTGGCGGATGGGCTTTGACGGAGGTGTCCATTGGTGGGAGCAGTTGTATGTAGATATTGCAAAAGTCCAGTGCTATATGCGTTGGCGGGTAGGCGTTCTGGAATAGTTGGGATTTGAGCAGCGCTGTAAAGAACATGAGACTGCGAATTGAATATACTTGAGATTCATGCACGAAATGTTGATCGAGTTCATTTGAAGAATGGTTTGACGTAGAATGAACCGAAGGATGTCTCATGAGGCGGCTAAAAACCAAACTCGCTTCTATCCCTAGTTTCAACGGCCACTACGAGGGAGGATTGATTGAGATCTGCAAACTCACAAGCATGGGACATGGGGGAGTGTGGGAATTTCTTGAGCTTGTCTTTTGAATTTACTCCGTACTGCCAAGGGACCGTGGAAACCGTACCCATGGAGTCGATCTTTGCTGACTTTGTGCCTGACAAGAAGGACGAGCACGGAGATTAGTGATGAGATAGAGATGACTGTACGTAAGTATAAAGCGAATGGTTTTCGCTAATGGTTTGCTGCTCTATCTGACGCAAAGACTCAACCAGGGATCCATGATGTCGTCGTAGCGAGAAGCGGCAGTCAGAAAGGCGAATGTTGATCTCGAAGGGGGTGTCTGGTTGGTCTTTGATGCAAAGAAGCAACATTGTAACAAATGAGATACGGGCTGCTCTAACCACTTACATGTGGACGTTGTACGATGATATAACGTTCAAAACGCCAGCTTGACTAGTTCAAAGGGCTGCAGAGAGTACCAATGCACTGATTGGCTCTCTAGTTTAGCACAGTGATCATCTCAAAAACTCAATCTCAAATCAAGTCAACTTCGTATTGCTTTGGCCTGTTCATATCGACATATCGTCTTACAGTTGAGCCTCTTAAAGAGGTCAGTACAGTTATGAAACCCAACACCACTATAAATACTGACATGAGCAGTCATGGCAGTGGTGAAACGGTAGCCACATGCAGCAATGAGAATCGAGTTGTGATACGATTCCACTGTTAGCCTCCTGCGTCACTCACTGCAAGTGCCCTTGCATGTATGTTGTCTGCAGAAAGGTTCGTGATACGCAGATGACTTGGTTGTGACGTCTCCATCCAGCCAGTGGGTGGAGTTAAAATTATTTCATATTTGCGTACGCCTCATCTAAATACGCGTCAGATGTTGAGTCTACTGTTACTGATTGAGATTGAGGCTTGATTCATATGAGAGATAGACTAGATGAACACGCGTGCAATTTGCCTTGGTTCCAGTCCAGTCCTGGTTTGCCGAGTTGCTTCATTAGCGCGACACATGGGTTGCTAAAAAAAAAACACCCGTGGCGGAGAAATACTCGTGCCCAGGTACGAAAAGGTGGAGGCTTATTAACGAGTCGTCGACTCTCGTCTCTTGAATCTGGATCCATTTTGGATGGACAACAATCGTCGTCTAGACCATTTCAAATGGGTCATAGGGAGAAAATAGAGCATTCGGTAAAGGAATCCTGGTTTATTTAGTTGATGGGATCGCAATTGCAAAGGGGGCACTGAAGAGGCGCGGTCGACCCAGCCCGGGCTCGACTTGTAAACACCACGCTAAAAGGTCTTTGATTTGTTTCTACTGGGAGTCTGTGTGAGGCTGAGGATGACTTGGGATGACATTGGCGATACGCTAAGCATTGGAGGATATGTTGATATGTATGTAAATGTGGTTGTTGGCTTGTGATTATATTCGTTGATGGTGAGGGAGGGGATCATAATCCGTAACATCTGTATGGACGAGATGTAAGATTACGATGAAATATGAATCTCGTTCAACTATAGCACACCTCATGCACAAATGGACAAGTATAGCAAGTACCCCAGACCTAGCATTGTGGCTGCAACAGAATTGGTCCCTGGCTGGCACCAGAACCCGGAAGCGGCTTGAAGCTGGTGGGGTCTTGAAAGCCGGCCCCTGGCTGGTGTCTCATTGTTGCATTGCTTCTAGCATTGCTTTTTGTCTTGTTGTTTTGAAACCTTTGGAGGTGAAGATAAAGCAATAATTAAGGTATTCGACAACGGACTTTGTCAGACGCTAGGGACATTGAGTTTATCTACCAGATACATACTCTATCAAAGACACAGTCTGGCAGTACCTTGTGTCTACTATAGATTCCCTGCTCATGCAACTATAAACGTCCCTTATCATCATTGCTGCTGTGTTACCACGGTTGCTGGTCGTTTCCTCGAAAGCAGCGAGATTAAAGATGCATGTGGGCAACTTTAGCATGAGACTTAATAGCTGCCTTTCCGAGTAAAGTAAGGCAGCATCTGTCTAATTTACCGGACTCTTCAACGCAAACACGGACCATCCCTTGTTGGTGTATCTTACCTACCTCGAAGAGGGTTGTGTCTCCGTCTTGGGTGGGTTCGTTCCCGTCAAGACGAAAATGAAGCATTGCTCAATTCTAGATAGGCTTGCCTACTAGTTGTGGACTCAGAGTCAATAGTGAACGCCCCCTTTGGTCATGAGGTGGCCCGTCTTGGGCAAGTTTAGTTTCGGAGGAATTGAGTTGTGTACGTTAATAAAGCGGGGGAGAATATCAGATCAGTGTCATGGTGCCATCAAGACTGCTCGTATTTGAGGCTCTAGACAATTGATACGATGTTGCGGCTGAGGAGACAACTGTCTCGAGCACAGGCTAGACAGGCTAAGGCTTCCTTATCAAGTGGCGAGAGGGAGGGGCTTTGCTCTGGGCTCTACGAACGAGATATACAATAGATTCATCCCGTGAGATCAGATTGGATCGTGTTGAGGAGGCATGGGTGTGGTGTGGTATCTGCAGGTAGGTAGTTTAAGGGGTCATCCACCCATGTGGATGGGCCTTGCACAAGGCTTCACATTGTGCAACTCAATGCCCTCATATCTTCACGAACCAGACATCATAGTCACACAGCGCCCCAACATCTTCCTGCAGTGCTTTGTTCCCAATTCTGTAATCATGTCTTTTGGAGTGTCGCACAGCCCAACGCCTCTTGCTTCCCTTGGACCTCTGACTCTCTCCACCTTCTTTATGGATGGATCCATCAGAAAAGAGACGGGTTCCATCCTTGATCCATCCATGCCTTCTTCTATCACTCCACCCTTTCTTCCATCAAATCCTGACTGTCTTTGCACTGGAACCAATACCTAATAAAGCTGCACAGGGAACGTAAATTAGTGCCTTGTCTTGGTGCTTGGGGGCCGGGCTATGGGTGGTCATGTACCGTTCCTTTACATCCATGGGGGCCTAGCTAATGGATGTCTTTCCCGCATCGTACTTTAATTAGGACATTAGGTCGGGTAGATTAGTAGCTCTCAGGCCCCTTCACCTTAAACCTCCACTACCTCCCACCCAACTTTACACACCACCCGGTACTGTACATACCTCTCGTCCAAGACAACTTAGCCCTGTGACGCCGCCATTGTTCGCTGCTACATACATACGTATTGTTTGAATTGTCATTCACGTACACGCACTCGCCGCTCTTTTCTTTCTTTCTTTCCTTCTTCTTTTCAATTCTTCTTTTGATTTCATTCAGACTATTTGTGGCTTTGCTCTTTCGATTTCCAAGCCTCCATAGATCAACGTCATTCAGTGTCGTCCATCACCCCACGAGAATCACCAACAACGCCCATCGAAGCCGAATAGCACAGTACCCTAAATATACGCCACGGCACCGCGTCGCATTACCATCGACCTCACAGCGCCTCTCTTTCCAACCGACGACTTCATCTGGTCTTCTGGCTCTTTGCTTGTTTCAACTTTGTTCCAGCGACCATCTCCGTATCACAATTCGCATAGCGCGGCCCGCGCAAGATCCCTCTCCGACGCCGATCCCTCCTTGGCTACTACCTCTCGCCCTCGACTCGCCGTCATTCTTGACGTCTGTTAACCATCACACATTATTTGCTTTCTTCCACCAAGACCGACAGCAGGCCTCCGTTTTGCACTGTACTTTATGCTCTCGCGCAACATACTGGCTTAGACAATCGCTTCTTCGATTCATAGGGATTTGCGACAGCTTGTTCACTTTCACATAAACTCAGCGCAGCAATCCTTCGACCTCCCCTGACTGTGCAGCTTTCGAGCGCTCTGGAACTATACCGAAACGACTGTCGTCTTGTATTCGCATCTGCAGTGCATCTTGGCCTCCCAAGTTCATGGTCTGCATGGAAACACGCCTCCATAGCTAGACTTTTATTCTAAAGCGACCACCATGTCGTCACGTCCGTCTCTACTGGACTTGCGATCGGATTCTTCGAACTCCAACCTTTCTACAGTCTCTAAACCCTTGCGCTCACCTCGCCTCCATGTTGCTGGCGAGGTTCCTCCTGAGCTGTCCCCCTTGGACGCTTTCGCCATGCAGAGTCGCCTACTCGCAAGGCAATTGCAAGAAAGCGCCAAAGAGGGCAACCGAATGAGTCGCCTTCCTCCTCTAACTGTTGAGAGCCCATTAATCGTTCAGGGCCGCTCTGAGTACTTTCGCTCATTGTCACAAGATTCAGGCTCCGAAGCCGGTGATCACCCTCCTCTGCGCCCTAGTTCTGGTCTCGCGGTAAGGACAGAGGTGGAGGATGCCTTTAGCGATGACGCTGAGCGCCCTGTGTCTATGCATCCACGAATGAGCCGAATACCGCCTACTCCCGATGAAGAGGTACCCGCAGTGCCTCCACGAGCTCCGTCTAGAGGACGGGTGTTGGATCATATTGATGAGACTGGCTCATTTTTCGGCGCCAGGAGGGAACGATCGCCCTCGCCATTACATAGTGATACGCAGTCCCAGTTTGACAAGCGAGTTGAATCATCTCCGTCTCGGAAAGACGATGCTGCCTCGCTACTTTCTGCCCGACGACCAAGCGGCTCGATCAGCGAATCAGTCACCGGTTCACCAGAAAAGCCCAAGCATTCATATGATGAACTCGGACTGGCGCCACCTCTGACCTCATTTCATCAAAGACGACGTACACCCAGCAATGTCTCATCTCCGGCATTGCCTACCGATGAGGATGGCTCTAGTGGCATGGCGGCTTCGTTTCACTCACTGCCTCCACGGAAGCTATCTTCTGCAAGTGCAATGACCTCCCCTGCGGTGGGCTCTTATCGACGATCGCCTTCCATTGGCTCCGAATCCTCTGCGCTTCCTCGACCGTCCTTCAACTTTTCAAGACCTATGAGCAGGTCTGGCACACCTGGTATGGAGCCACCCTTGAGACAAGCTTCCTCTGATAGCCAGCCTTCGTTCATTTTGGCTGATGAGTCGGTTCATACACCAGTGAGCATGCATAGTGAGGCATTCCTTGAGCAACAGGCCGAAGACCGCGATAAGGGTGCACCGTCCTACATCTATTCCAAATTCTCACTCCCGAGAGGCAAGGCCATTCAACGCGCGGAACCAGATGAAAATAATCCACAGGCTTCCTTCCATTGGGAACAACCCATGGTGCCCCCAAGCGACGTCCACCGATTTGAGAATGCCCCTCCACCATCACCTCCCACTCGACCTACAAGCTCCTCCGCCAATACCGTTCCAGACGATTCCCTGGCATCGGGTAGCTCAATGCCGAAGGCATCGATCGAGCTGAGAAAGGTTCAATCGGAAACAACACCGCCACCGATGCCCCAGCTATCTCCAACTGCAAGCAGACCATCAGTTGAGGAGCCGCGTGCATCAGAGGATGCGCCTAGAGGCCGAGGTCGAACGCCTGTGTCAATAGCCACCAGTGACACAGCAAGCACGATCAAACCACCCCCAACCGCTCGCTCGACAGCACCTACAGCATTGGAAATGAGTGCAGAAGAACACTTGGCGAAGGGTATCGCATGTCATGAAAGTGGGGATCTGAAAGAATCCACATACCACCTCAGATATGCAGCACGTCTAGGCGACCCGACCGCTATGCTTCTCTATGCGCTTGCCTGCCGTCATGGATGGGGTATGCGTGCTAATCAGAAAGAGGGCGTGGAATGGCTTAGAAAGGCCGCGGAATGCGCTAGTGTCGAGATCGCGGATGATGAGAGTCATGTAAAGGAGGGCAAGCATGTTGACGTTGTGGAACGAAGAACTCGAAAAGCCCAATTTGCTCTGAGCATTTACGAATTGGGAGTGAGTCACATGAATGGCTGGGGTATTGAGCAGGACAAGTCACTGGCTCTCCGTTGCTTCGAGATCGCTGGTAGTAGGTCTCCCAGATGAACCATTAACAGCCAATTGCTAACCAAGACCTTAGACTGGGGCGATGTCGATGCGCTGGCTGAAGCTGGCTTCTGTTATGCACAGGGTATTGGATGTAAGAAGAATCTGAAGAAGAGCGCCAAATTCTATCGCATGGCTGAAGCCAAGGGTATGAGCATGGTTGGGAATAGCTGGTAAGTCTTGACATCCAGAGCATATAACCCGCAATCCACCCTCGTGCTCACTAACATTAAACAGGATTCACAAGGCCAAATACGATGACGACGGCGAGTCAACCGCGTCCAAGAAAGACAAAAAGAAGGCCCGCAGCAAATCTCGAACCAGAACCATGTTTGGACTGAAGTGAGCTCACGAGCCGCTCCAGTGACACGCCTACTATGATAATGATGACATCTTCGACATACCCATTTTAATCGGAGTTTTTACTGGTTTTCCATTGCATTGGGGGGTTTATGGGATTTAGGAGGAATATTCTTGTGCTCCCTGTAACGTCTGCCCAGGGCTGGACCTGGGCCAGGTGAAGGAACTAGATTCAGTTCCGTGTTCAGCGTCAGATTCTAGATGAGGATTTTTAGTGAACATACCCCGATGAAAGGGTGATATGAATTATTATGCCTACTGCAGGCACAGCAAAGACACGGCTACTTGAATTGTAGTACGATGGTTGTCTATTCTATTCAACACGTTCTTGGACATTGCATCTCATATCCAGGGACTAGCGAAAAGCAGAGGCACTCAAGTCAGACAAAAACTTGCCTTTTCTTTTTTTATTTAAAATTAATTGCATTCGAAATATTGCATTGAGCTGTACTGGCATCATCAGTCACAACTCTGCCTGCCACAGATAATGGCCTGTTCAGTGACCCAGTGTGTAGTGTACTGGGATTGCGTGCTGTTACATGCCGTGGTCTACCTCATCTAAAGTTCCGATAGGATCTCTATTTAGCTGTCAACATCCATCTTCTCCTCCACGGGTACGTCTTCCACGCTAATGTACCGCTTGATCTCGTCCCTCTTGATGATCTTTTCGTTCAGCACCGCCGTCGTGCCCTTGGGGAAACGGTAACTCTGAAGCTTGGGCTCCTTCTCGTTGGGCTTGATGTAGTTTCTCTTGAGTGTTGTCTTGTCCTTGGTGATGATAGCCACGTCCACGTTTGAACCCGAGCCCAGATCGTTCCAGACACCGGCAAGAATGGCGTCGCTCGCCAGCTTCACGGCTTCCTCCTGGTTAAGATCGGGCTTCCACTGCGTCTCAAAGACACTCATAGCTGCCAAGCTACCACTGCCCATGGTAACATAGGGAAGCTTATCTGTGCTGCCGTGAGCGTGGACAGTGAAGAGGTGGGTGCCAGTAGGGTCGACGCCAGCAACGACCAGGTAGGCACCGATGTGGCCCTGGTAGCGGAAGAGGTGCTGCTTCAGGAGGGTCATGCAAGTGACGACGCGGGGCTTGCGACCTGTGGATAGGGAGTGCAGCTCGAGTTGAGAAGAGATGAGGGCGGTGGTGAACTCTGTGTCAGCGGCGGTACCGGCGCCAGCGCACCAAATCTGAGGAGAGATGTAGTGAAGCTTCTCGCAGTTCTTGTCGGCGACAATGGGACCGGATGTGGCTCGAGTATCGGCAGCAATCTAATGGAAAGGGTGTCAGTGCTGAGCTCTTGGTGGGATGGCGGTAGCTCCATTCAATGTCCGAAGACCGGTACTCGAGACAGCAAGGTATCACTTACCACAACACCACCATCAAATATACATCCAACAATAGTCGTTCCAGTGCTGGTAGCCTTGGGCAGAGGCACTCCTCGGGCGTGGAGAGCCGCATTGCGGTTGTAGTTTGAGAAGTCGAAGCCTGGCATTTTGAGCAACCTATGATTCCCCGATTGAAAATATCAAGATAGTTGATTTGCCCGAGTGCCTGTAGGATAATGCGGTATCGTGAGAAATGGTAAGATCGCTCGGGGTATCTTTTGCGATGGGGATGTTGCTGGTCGTTGAATTGCGAGACGAGTTGAGGTTAACAAGGCAGAGCTGATGACGAGGCTAAAAGCTGCCTCCAGCAGTTGAGCTTCACTGAGCACCTACAGCAGCATACAGCGGCGCGCTCTGATTGGTCGAACCTAATAGGCACGATAGGCAGACCACGCCCAGGCTGGAGCAGTACCTAACCAGTGGCTCAAACTTTAACACGTGAGGAGGAGTTTGGCAAGAGCATATCAAAGTCAATGAGTTAGTCGGGCAGTTTCGACTTGATATGAAGCTTCGTATCTAACCTAAACTCAAAACATCCCCAACTCTTAGAGGTATCATCTAAAATCATCAGCAACTGAATTTCTAAGTCTTCTGCGCCTCTAGGTGCATCAATCGGCCAATCACTATCTGTCAAAGCACGTCCCCCAGCCTACCACAGCCTGGGCCAAAGCTCCCCCCGGTCGCCCCAGCCCACTCCTATGCTGAAGGCAAATTTATGAACTTCAGGTCCTCTCTCCAAGGCCGGCTACTCTGCTACAGTCATGGCTTTCAGCTTTGGCAATTCAGGAAACGCCATGCTCGGGAGTACGGCAGGAGCAGGAGGACTGACTACAGGCCCTGATCTGGAGACAATCCAGACAGAGGTGAGTGCGCTATTCTTCTAACTTGATGGTTTCATTTTATAGTCTTGTTTGTTTTGTTGACTTCATGGACGTGATGCTAACCACACCCAATCTGTGCAGGACCTCGGTTTTCTCTCTATCGCCGGCGACGCCAAGGTTCGCCTTACATCCACGTGGTCATCTCTTCCATCCTCTACCGCGTCGCTTCTCAGCGTCGCTTCGCGCAAAGGTCTTGTCGCTGCTGCTGGACCCGACCAAGTTGTCATCGCCACAACCGAATCGGTGCGAAAAGCTTTCGAAAAGCCCAAAGATGGCGACTCAGATATTCGCGAGTTCGAGCCTCAGCTCAAGATCCCTATGCCGATGCGAGTTTCGCAATTATCCTTTACTGCGGATGAAAACTATTTAATCCTTTCCGCCGAATCTGGCGGCGGCTTGGCTGTCTATGAGGTTCAGAGTCTGTTATCGGGATCAACAAACTCGGCTTTCGAGCTATCAACGAACGGTGGAACCCTGAGAGCCATGATCCCGAACCCTACCCCTGAGAAGGCGGAGCTTTGCGCTATCGTAACGAACAACGGTAACTTGCACATGGCAAACCTGAAAGAACGGCAAATCAGCAGCGTTCTTAAAAACCAAGTTAGCTGTGTTAGCTGGAGCTCCAAAGGCAAGCAACTATGCGCTGGTCTGGGTGATGGCACAATTTTCCAGATGACTCCCGAAGGAGAAGGGAGAGGAGAGATCCCTAAGCCGCCGAGTGTGGGTGACTTTCATGGTACGTAACTGCAAGGTTTCGTTTAACGTCAAGTTTGGCTAACATCATCTCAGTATCATCTCTTACCTGGCTCGAGAACCACCTGTTCTTGTCCATCCATACTTCAAATAACGAATCACCGCCGACCTCTATCTACCATATCATTACGCGCCAACCACCATCATCTTTCAACTTTCAGAAGCTTACCGATCCTGTCGAGCCGTTTGGATCAGACAAGACACCACATCACTCGATTCTGCGACTCCGAGACTTTCCACCAGCTCTCCAAGATATGCTCATTGTCGCTTCTACCGCAGCCTCGGAAATGGGCGTTTTGAGCCGTTCCAAGACACCTTTGGCTACAGACAAGCCTGCAGATGCTATCACTGGAGTGTTCACGACGACAGAATTCTTGGATGATACCAAGAGACCAACATTGCCAATGACTGACTCCATGGATGATTCCACTCCGATTGGTGTAGCTCTCGATCTTTCCGGCAAGGACAAGGTCTACAAGCCCATTCCATCGGACGTCGAACTGGAAGAATCGCCAGGTCCACTGCCTGGGTTCTGGGTACTCACACATGAGGGTGTTCTCTGCGCTTGGTGGGTAGTCTATAACGACTCTATCAGACAGGGTACCTCGTATCCTCACTTGGCTGCGGTTGAGGGCACATCAGCGCCGACACCAGCTCCAGCAACCCAAGCCGGTCCTGCAGCTTCGGCATCGCCCTTTTCCAATCCTACCCCCTCCGCGTTTGGCTCGGCTTCGCAGCTTGGACAGAAGTCATCTCCATGGGGTGGTGCTAACACCGGTTCTGCTGCCCCTAGCACAGGGGGCGCCGTGTTTGGTTCAAGCGGCTTCAGCAATACTGCAGCCACCTCTGCTCCGGCATTCGGCAAGCCTAGTTCCATCGGCTTTGGGCAATCGTCCCAGCTAGGCGCGAAGAGCTCTCCTTGGGCATCAGCATCAGGTGGAGCGTCAGCTGTAACTCCTGCTTTTGGACAGTCAGGATTTTCGAGCTTCGCAAACAACAGCAATACCAGTCCTTTTGGCAAGGCGGCGTCCAATTCTCCATCAAGTGCTCCTGCATCGGGGGGCTTTGCTGGCTTCGCCAGCAAGAGTGGTTTTGCTTCTGTGAATAACAATAATAGTGGTAGCGTATTTGGCAGCGGCAGTCAACCCGCTGCCAATCCTTTCGGGTCCACCTCAAATACCGAAACAGCTTTCCCGGCCAAATCTGAACAATCTTCTGGCAGTCCTTTTGGGTCTACCCCTTTCAAGCTCCAGAGCTCCTTCAAGCCTGATGGATCTGCCAAGGACGACGCAGCTAAACCCGGCGGCTCTCTGTTTGGTAGCAATTTTGGATCAGCCCTTACCGATGCGACTAACAAACCTGAAGTTACGACGCCAACACCCAGGGATGAGGAAATGGACACTGCGGGAGCAACGGAGGAGACCCCCCAAGCAAAATCCAAGGACTCATTATTCCCTGCGCAACAAAGCCCCGAGTCCACAACGCCAACTACAACACCTGCGCCATCTAAGTTCGGTTTTGCAACATCGCCAGCCCCCCAGACATCAGCTTTTGGACAACCATCGAAGTTTGGCTCCACTGGTGGTGGGCTTTTTGGAAACAAGTCGGAGACACCGAAACCCAGTGGCGGTCTTTTTGGATCCCCCTCGAGTACCCCTAAGCCAAGCGGAGGGCTGTTCAGTTCAACCTCTGCGACACCCAAGGCTGGTGGAACCCTCTTCGGATCGCAGCAGAACACACCAAAGGCCAGTATTTTCGGAGGACAACAGAAGCCAAGCGGTTACACAGGAATCTTTGGGCAGAAGTCGGAGCCGTCTAAGGCTAAGAGCCCTGAGGCCGAGAACCCTAAAATCAAGGTAGAAGAAGATGACGCCCCGCTGCCTCCGGATACGACCAACAAGGCCAGCTTTGCTGTTGGTGAATCGTCTTCCTCATCAGCGGCATCCAAGACTGAAGCCGTTCCTCTGCCCCCAGACTTCATACCCAAACCTAAGTCTTCCTCGTCTGCTGCCAAAGCAGCTGAGGCCTCTGATGCCCCATTGCCGCCAGACTTTGTTAATGTATCCAAACCGACAGACAAGGAATCGGCTGCCTCTGCTGCCCCCCTGCCATCTGAACCAATCATTTCTACAAAACCAAGATCCGTTTTTGACAAACCAGATGGTACTCCAAAGGCACCCTCGAGCCTTTTCCCCGCCGTCGCCGGACCCCCTTCGGACGATAGTGATGATCTGGATGACGAAGACGACGACGAAGAGGAAGACGATGGTGAAGAGGAAGGAGAGGAAGATGATGATGACGGGTCTGAGGGCAGTGGTATCGATGTTGCCAAGGATCTGAGTCCGACAGTCAGCAACCTCACTCCCGGATATACACCTCAAAGCTCATTTGGTGGGCCTGGCGGGCATGCTCTTGGAAGCCCCCGAACAAATCAAGAAGGCTCACGGCCTTTGTTTGGCGAACTCAGCCGCAATGCCCCCGTGTTCCCAAGACCTAACGCGACCAGCCCCCGCTCCCCGAGTCCGGTTCGAGGGGCAGTGCCGAATAGGGTCCTCAGGTCAGAGAACATGAGATCTGTGAGTGCCCCAGGAATTGCCTCGCATCTCCTCGGGCATAGGCAGTCTCAGATGGGTGCTTCCATAACCAGCAGAGACGCTGGCTCGTCAGAAGACCCATTTGTAGCCCAGCATCGTAAATTAAAGGCCAAACAGGAGGCTGCAGAAACCCAGCCATTAGTTGACGAGGATGATGATGAGGTTCAGAAGCTTCTGGCATCAGACGTGGAAGGAAGTTTGACCCTGGATGAGTTCATTGCCCATTCGAACGTCGCTCCGCCTGCTAAGGAAAGCATTCCAAGCCAAGTCGAAGCAGTCTATCGTGATATTAATTCGATGATTGATACACTCGGTCTCAATGCGCGAACCGTCAAGTCATTCATCAAGGGCCACACGGAGAACTGCAAGCAGGGTGGACGCAGTAAAGAGGATCTTGACGACCCCGAAGACTGGGTTCTTTGCGAGATTGATGAGTTGGGGAACATCTTGGACAATGAACTGTACAATGATCTTGAGGACGGGCGGGTTCGTGACTTGGACGCTAAACTCGATGCTTGTCACGAACTTACCAGAGATATGCATCGCCTTCGAGCTAAGCAGGAGGACTTGAAACAAATCCTTATGATCAGAACCGACCCTGACCAGGCTGAAGTAACACGATCTATGCCTCTGAGTGCGGAGCAAGCAACACAGCAGAACGAACTGCGACGCGAGTTCGCCAAGTTTTCGAAGCTCTTGGCTGATGCGGAAGAAGCCTTAACGCTGCTCAAGACAAGAATTGCGTCCGCCTCTGGCGCTTCAGGCAAAGGCAAGGCAAACGTTCCTACGGTTGAGGCGGTCATACGTACTATTGGGAAGATGACGGCGATGGTTGAGAAGCGCAGCGGAGATATCGACGTTCTCGAAAACCAGCTGCGCAAAGTCAATCTCAACTCTACAAGCCGGGAGGGGTCTCCTATGGTGACACCACAGGGAAGGAGGAGCATCATGTTCTCCCCTGAAGGAACGCCCGTTAGAAATTTGCGGCATAGCTTTGCGGGCAGCATGTCTCTGGGTGCATCTGTGCGAGCCACTCCCCCACGCAAGAAACTTAGTGGCTTCAGTCGAGAGGAGAAGGGCGATTTAATGGAAAAGAGAACACGTCGGCAAGCGGTATTGGGCAAGCTGAAGAGCAGCGTCGAGAAGAGAGGTGTCAGTGTTTGGAATATGGAGGATATCGAATAATCAAGGACAATGACAGGATGGACATTATCACGGCGAAACAAGACAGAACATGGTGATGAATAGGGCATGGAGCAACCAAGCAACTGTATCTTAGATTTTAAATAGTGTATCAATTGGCCATACCAGCTACCCGGATAGCTAATGTATTTTCCCCCTGCAGTACACATTCCCTTTTTGATTCATGACAGTTCTCTGTAGCTAGTTGCATTGTGAGAATCGTAATTTCAACTCAATTAACCCATTTTGTCCACCCTATTACGACCAATTGATTTACCAAACAAACACCATTTTACTCCTCGGGTATCCTCAGACGTTGAATTTCATGAAGACATATGTTGTGCAAGCATTGAACTATGTGGTCAACTCACTCAGGCTGCTGGAGCAGGAGGAGCGGCAGATCGTGGGATGGCAGACTTGGGGTCGGTGGCTGGAGTATTGCTGGAGATATCGCGAGGAATGTTTGATGGGTTAGAGTGAACCCGGCAATGTTCCTTGTTCTTGTGCTCGGGGTGAGGTCGAGGAGTGTAGCTGAGAGGCCACTGTTAGGTGAGGGGAGCCTTGGATGAGAATTGGATCGACATACTTGACGAAGGAGAGCATCCTGAAAGGTTGTTGGTCTGTTGCCGTGTGTAAGTGGTAGATGTTGTTGACGGTGCTTTAGTGTATTTCTCAAAAGCCAATTGTTTGCTTTACGATGATGTTGATACTAATGATGAATTGGAGAAAAGATGGGAAGCTAACGAGTATTATATAGCTGATCTCTTCTCTGGTCAAATCAACTTACATACATTGCATTACAAACGATTGCTTGGCCGGACCGGTTGTGCTCTGGTGACTGACTGACAAGACCTTTGAATTGCACGTGTGACCGGCATCAACTTTGAGGATAGAGCAGGGGTTCGCCAAGGACTTTGAATTTGACTGGAGGACATGGGCGCAATACTGACGTCGTACGGGTTGCCCGGACAGGGAATTGATGGGATCTCTCAGCGGGGGTAGAGCGTGCGCGTGACCCCTGGAACGAGGAGGATGAAGTGCGCTGCAGCTGGTCTAGGGGATCCTAGTATGTGTATGATGGATTGGGGACGGGAATCTGGCGATGGACAACGACTGATTGGGTGCGTTGATATGGCCAGAGGCCGGCCCGGTGAATGAGTCTGTTCTATGAACACTTCCCGACTACGGAGTAGCAGGGGCACAATCTCGGCATCCTAGACAAGAGGCAAAACGGACTTGTCGAGAGATTCGTCTCATAAGCGAGCTTTCAAGGGCCTATGTCTGGTTGATGCGGCGCAAATGGTCCGAAGTCGCTCATTATCAGACCAGGTTCTGGTTTTACAAGATAAGACTCATAATTATTTACATGCTCTCAACAATTGCAATGCCCTCCCTCATGAAAGAATCCAACGCAGGCTGTCCTCGTGCAAAGCCACCTCGACTGACATTGTCACTGTTATCAGACCATGTTCTCATAATATCAGGTACGTACCTGCAGCTTCGCAGCCCAAACTCCGGTTCATCGTGAGTGGGGCCCGTGGTCTGAAGCCGACACCCACCGAAGCATGGGTCGGGCACGGTCGGCGGTCCCGGAGACGAGTGGAGAAATCTGCGCCGTCTCTTTCTGCAGGCAAGACTGACAGCCCGGGGTCCACTAATTCTTCACCTTGAATTATCCACTTTCTTCACCTTCCACTCACCGAATCTTCACCTCGGAGGGGCTTCAAAAAATTATTGTTTGCTTCGCTCATCACCGACGTACGTTTATACAATCACCACGCCTACTCACCAGTCTGCATATACATAATACCCACCACCGCAATGGCACCCACACAGCAGGCTGCGTGGAGAAAAGCTCCTACTGCAGAGGAAATTGCCAATCGTCAGGTAAACTTCAATTGAGCAATGCTGAATGCACTATAACCTAACTTTTGCGCCCAGACTGTTGGCATCAACAAGGAAACCGTCACAAACATCACCTCGACTGATTACCCAGGCCATCACCCTGGAGAAGACCTCGCATTCACGCTTGATCGTTTCCGCGATGCGTTTTCCGTAAAATTTCACCAGAACGATCAGTTCCTCGCCTCTTTCTCTCTTGTCGGAATCGACGCTTCGCTCGCAAACGCTTTTCGACGTATTCTACTCTCCGAGATCCCCACCCTCGCTATCGAGAACGTTTATATCGAGAACAACACCTCTGTCATTCAAGACGAGGTTCTCGCGCATCGTCTTGGACTCATCCCATTCAAGGGTGGCCGTGAGGGTCTGCACAACTTCCTCAAGTGGCACAAGAAGCCAGAGGCTGGCGAGGACCCTTATGCCGGCTGCTTCGACTGGAACACGGTCCGCCTCGAGCTTAACGTGACATGCACCGTCAATGAGGATGCTTCGCCCGCTGAGAACGACCCTCTCAAAGCTTACCATAACGCCCACGTTTATGCGCGCGACATCGTCTTCGTCCCTACTGGCAAGCAGGTCGAGTACTTCAGCGGCGAGGACGCCATTGCGCCCACGAACCCAGACATCTTGATCGCCAAGCTGCGACCCCGACAGACCATTAACCTCGCCATGCATATGCACAAGGGAATTGGATCCGATCACGCCAAGTTCTCTCCTGTCGCGACAGCCTCCTACCGTCTCCTACCTACCATTACCATTACCAAGCCTATCTTGGGCGCTGACGCCGAAAAGTTTGCCAAGTGCTTCCCCAAGGGTGTCATCGGCCTCGAAAAGGTTACGGCCGAGGAAGCTGCTCAGGCTGGTAGCGGTTATGAGGGCCAGGAGGGCGAGACCAAGGCCGTGGTCGTTGATGCAATGAAGGATACTGTCAGCCGAGAGGCTCTACGACACAAGGAGTTCGAGGGCAAGGTGAAGCTTGGCCGAAGGCGAGATCATTTTATCTTCTCCATCGAGAGCACAGGGCAGTGGGATAGCGATGAGCTTTTCCTCGAGTCAGTTAAGCACCTTAAGCTCAAGTGCAAGAAGCTTGAGCAGCAAGTTATCAACATGGCGAGGTAGCCAACTACATCGCAAGGATATTTCGGGTCTTGTTTGGCGCAGTATCATAATTTTTGGGTTGATTTGTTTTCTGCGGTCTCTACGGTTAGATAAAAAGGAATGATACCATGACCACATCATAATACTCGTCACCCGTTTCTTCTCTGCCCTCTAAAAAGGATACTCTTCTAGTATTTTTGAGTCGTCATCATATACCTCTCATTTATTAATCCAACGCCTAAAGATGCCCAAAAGCCCGAACGCCCCTTACTGACCACTTGACTGAGAATCAAGAACTTGTCTTGAACTTGAAGTAAAAGTTGAATTCAAGGGGGAACGCAGGATCAGTGACAACAACCTGTTGTCCGTCTTCGAGCCCAAGCTCTGTGAGGGTCTTACTCAGGTTCGGGCGCGTCTGCTCCTCCAAGCCTGGAGGAGATTGCATGTATAGAGTCTTTCCTTCGGCACGGATCGATGGCTTCTTTAATTGCGCTTCAGGGCGAATCGCGAATGAGTCGATTAACTCCTGCAGAGTGGATCTGGGATTGACTTCAAGAGGGCGAGCCTGGCGTCCACAGACAGGGCAGTCGTCCTTCTTCTCATGCTTGAAGGTGTATGTATAGATGCTATCATTGCCAGAGTACATCATATAGTTTGTGTCGAATCCAAGACAAGGGGCAGAGGTTGTCGCGATTTTAAAAGCCTCGTTGCAGCATGCAGCGGCGATGATAGCATTGGTAGATGCAATCGCCGGAATAATGTTCTTGATGGTTCCTTGCGTTAACGAATAAGTGACACCAGGGATGCCGAACTCTTCCGCACGAGTAAGTGCTTTTTGGAATAGCCAGGTTACATGCTCTGGGTCATCCTTATCGAGCTTCGGGAATGGCTTTTCTTGCTCCCAAGCAATAACGTGGGCCCATTCGATGCAGTGCTCGGGTTGTCGTGGGATTGAGGCGATAGTACACAGAGGAACAGCGGCGCGCGGGGCGTGCATATCCAGCTGGCACTCAATGCAGGATGTCATAGATGGGAGGATGACTCGCGCCTGTCCCTTGAAACCTTCAGTGCCACCATCAATGAGGGGCTTTATCGCATCGGGGTCTTCAGCTTCTTCGGCAATAGAAACAAGCATGGCGTTGATCCAACGGCGGGCCTCGATGCTGTCTAGCCCGCAAATTACAAGCTGGAACTGCTTGTAAAACTCCTCGTCGAAGTCCTGGATACGGTTGTTGTGAGCTGTGATGGAGACGCCCTTAACTCTCTTCTGGACGAAAGTAGCGGCAACCTCTGCTTTGTATTTGCCAACATCATCTTTTCGGAATAAGAACTGGCGGTTGAGGTTGGAAATATCGATGGTATCTAGAGCAAGATGAGCCAGCGACCTTTAATAGAAAAGACGATTCACAAACCCATGTCTATTACGTGGATGTTCCTGAATCTAGACATGGCAAGATTCTTGAGAATTTCACATCCTAGGCCTCCTGCGCCGCTGTATTGTGGCAGTTAGTGAGTTGGACAATTGAGTCTTTCAAGAAAGATGACTGACATGACACTATACAAATTAGTATGGCTTTCCATAGGATGTAACATGTGTACATCAACACTCACAGAACTTTGAACGTTTCAAACTGCGCCAGAAACTCCGGCGCAGTAGCATCGGGATCGGTATATGGTCCTGCGTTACGGCGGATTTGGTCGAGGTATTTCCTTGCCTTGCGGTCAGTTGTTTGTGGTTTCAAGAGCTCCAACAGCTCCCAGCTGAAAGGTCTTACCATCGTGCGTCTTCGTAGCCGCCGGCAGCTTCCTGAGCCACACTAGCCATATTGAAGATTTTCAATGACTTTGTAGAAGAACAACAAGCCAAATGAATGTATGAGCAGGTTCGCAGGGAGATATGTAAGATCAGAGAGTGGTCCGTAGCTTGGTTACTAAGGTAAGGAGCTCTGAAGGGATCCGTGCGTGGGGAGGATCGTCATTGCCTGGAGCTGGCTCGGTGAAGCTCGGTGAAGGTGGGGTCAAGGTGAGTAATGCTTCGAGCACCTAAACCTAAACACCAGGCAATAATGTATACCTCTATCAAGCTTTCAAAGTTCAAACAGCATGACATTTCGTGGACAACCCGCCAGATTAAACTACACAGACTAGAATGGACGACCTTCTCACCCCTGTGAGCACAACCTACCTCAAACCTCGGAATGAGCCTGAGCCACTTTTCACAGAGATTGAGCCAGCTTCAACCCAAAAGAAACCAGCCAGCATCAGTGACAAGTCGACGGCTGATGAAATTATCGATGCCTTAAAAAGTCAGCCAGACTACGATACACTTATTTCGGTACTGAGTTTTCTAAATAACCCAAAATCTGCGTCGAGTAACTTCTCATTCTCAACACCCAATCCCAAAACTGCGTCTATCATCCATTTGCTGGTCTCGGAAATCGCATCAAATTACTGGACACTTTTACTTGAGGGAAACATCGAAGATGATACAAAGGGCAAAACGGAACTTCCGCGAGATGCGGATCTTTTTCTTGGCTGTCTACGCAGTCTGACAGGTCTTAACGCTGTCATCACACAACTGCGAGTTCTCATTCAAGAGTCACGGCTAGGGGGGAAAGAAGAGAAGAGAGTAGACTTATCAATCAACGCCGGCATTCTGTTGAGTATTCTATCTTCCATTATTGGTAGTGCCCGGTCAATTCCCACGATGTGGAGCTCATCGACCAAAGGAATTTCCAATGCCGCTCTGCAAAGAGTTCAGTGTCAGAAACTTGCATCAATTCTGACGAACGGTCAGATTGTGTCAATCGCAGCGGAAGCTTTAGAAGTCATGGGACGCGATCAAGTCGACGATGGGGTTCACTGGATTGCTGACGGACTAGGATATAGCAGATGGGTAGGAAATGCTATTGTGTCATGGGTTCGTTCATCACCTGAACCCGATGGCATGACCTTCGCTTGTGAGTTGTTCCAGAAGTCGCTGTCGCTGCACCATTCAGGTAAGACACATAAGGATTCCAACTATTGATACTTGCTGATGCTTATTCCGCAGAAACTCTTATCAAAATTGCAATCGACGGACTTCTTCTTTCCAAAAGAAACTCAATTTCAACCTTCATACAACTTGCTCTCAGCCAACATCGAACTTGTAAGAAGGTATTCCATATTTTACTCCAGCACCTTTCACAGAAATACTTGAATCGTCTGAGCCTGGAAGACACACACCCCGACGACAAGGTTTCTGCCGTTGCTGGGCTTCTCATGGAAGTCGCATTGAATGACGAAACGAGAAGAGATGTTCTTATCAACTGGTGTGCATCTTCATCAGGTGCTGGTGTTGGCGATGGAGTAGGTATACGCCGAGCTGTCGTAGCTGCGCTCGCACAAGACCGAGAAGCGATTACTGCAGTACTGGAGAAAAGCATTGCACAATTTGGAGATGAGCTGTACATCAGACATTCAGCAATGCTTCAGCAAGATGGTAACGACTATCCCGACGTGTTTCATCTACATGCTTGCTGACATTTTGTAGCACATACCCAAATCCTGCTCCTTGCCGCTGGCTACGTACACAGAGTCTCTCCAATGAAATTGACGTTGCTCATGCGAGTGGGCACATACATGAACACCATCTCCAATCGCATCGGTTCCACACAGCCTAGAGCTCAGTTTCTTGGTTTGGTAGTTGGGGAATCGTTGTCTGCTCTGATCGATGATAAGAAGCAGAGGCTCGATTTCAAGATGGAGCAGACAGAAACAGAGGAAGCGCAGCAATTAAAGAGTCTAACCAAGGTTTCTGATCGTGTTGGCCCTATCGACCCTATCCTATTCGACCACGCAATTGAGACTATCCCTCAGAAGCGAAAACCTTCAACGCCAAGCGAGGCTCTTCAAAAGAAAGCCAAGCAAAAGAAGAAGCCTGTTGTTACTGAAGCCAAGCCAAAAGCTATCATCGAGGAGATTGATTCTTCAGAAGAGGACGACGATCTCGCCCCTTACTCGAAGGACTCTGACCCTGAAGACTCGGATGACGACGCAACACTTGTACAACGCAACAAGCCCAAACCACCTGTTTATATCAGAGATCTCATCTCGTATTTCAGAGACTCTGAATCATACGACAAACAGTTGCTTGCTTTACAGACAGCTCCAATTCTCATCAGACGCAAGGCCAATTATGGAACCGAGGTAAGTTTCCACGCTGATGAGTTGGCTGGGCTTTTGGTGGGCATACAAGACAAGTTTGAGATCGAAAATTTCGATGATTTACGGTTACACGGTATGGTAGCGCTTGTTGTCTCTCAACCCAAGACTATGGCCCCGTGGTTTGCTCGAACTTTCTTCGAGGGTGACTATTCCCTCCACCAACGGACATCAATACTTGTCACATTGGGCCTGTCAGCCCGAGAACTGGCGGGTTTCGAAGTATCTCAATACCAGTCGGCTGCTGCCTTTCCCTCAAAGCGGCTACCTGAAAAGATGGAGCAACTTTATATTGGCTCGGGAAATGATGGCAGAGCCCTGCCGTCGTCCCAGCTGAAAGCGCTCCCATCAACTGCTCTCGAGAATATTTCACAGTCGCTGACATCTTCATTCCTTGCCCCGCTTGCTGCAGAAGCAGCCGATGCCAACACAGGTCCTGATATTTTGAAGCTTCAAAGCTTCACGGCCCGCTACAAGTCCAAATCTAGTTCCAAACCTCGTATGCGTGCTATTCCCAATACGACTGCCGCTCTGCTTGCGACATCCTTCTTCTCCCCACTCACGGCACATTTCCAGGTCGCGCTTCGTTCTGCCAAACCAATCATACTCAACCATGCACTTCTGGCGCTCTACCTACAGACGTTAGGTATTGTTGTTCACGCCGCTGGACCCTCCACACTTTCGCTGCCACAGTTGACCGCGGAGCTATGGGACTTGCTTCTGGGCGTTCGTGTACATGTTTTTGGCGATCTCGGCGCCATGAAAGGGTGGCTCGTAGCTATGGCGTCCCTGCTGGAAGTAAATGGCGGCAGCATGCGTCGGCTTTGTGAAACCCAAGGCAGAGAGGTAATGGAGACTAGGGAATGGGTCGCAATGGTGTTCGAGAAGACTAGAGGGGAGGATGGTGGGGAGGAGAACGAGGTCAAAATGCTGGCGGCAGGAGTTTTGATCAGGTTGGGAGAGGCCATCGAAAGGTACCAAGCTTTGCTAATGGGAGACCTGGTCGGATTCCAATAAGCTAAATGCAGGAGCTTGGTGAATGGGGGGAAAATTTTGAATATTCTATTCGTGATTTATTATGATCATATATCGCATTGCACAATATCCAGCTTTTAACCAGTATTCAATGTAATGGCAAGCCATTTCCGAACTCCATGATCACACGGTGTTATATAATTAATTCCCATATACATTCGTGAATGTCTTCAAGGGGTCTCAATAGACTCCATCCTTGTCGTGCTCGCTCTTCGAAGTGGAAGACCCGACAAGTATGTATTCGCGTGGCTGAGATGATCGCTTAGGCTCATGGCCATGCGCCGAAGCTCCTCCTTGACATGTTCTGATGAGGCCTGGCCTTCCATAACTTGGGGTGAGGGTGCAGTAGGTGCAGGCGGAAGGAATGGCTGTTGTTGTTGATAAGATCGAGGGTAGTCGTCCCGAACTGGTGACCGATCTAGTTGAGGCTGAAGTGGAGGAGGTTGAAGTTCAGGGGCGGCAAGCGTTTGTGGAGTGAAAGATTCAGGATCGGTATCGGCGAACTCGCTAAGGGAGTAAGGTCTTTCACTCGGGGCGTTCCCGTTGGTCTGGGAAGATTGGGGTTGTCCCTGGGGTTGTCCCTGGGGTTGATATAGGGGTAACTGTGTTTGCTGGTAGGACATCTGAGGATCATGTCGCTGGGTGTTATTGAGCGAAAGGTCCGCAACCGCATTTGCAAACTCAGAATCATCAGATACATAGATGGATGGTTCTCGTATACTGTTGGGCATAAGGTAAAGAGAGGCGTGCTTTTCTAGCTGGAAAGGATCGGCCCCTCCTAACTCTGAGCCAGCCAATGATCCTACGTCCGAGTGTGATGTGGACGGCCTTGTATAGTCGCTCATAGGAATGGGATCAGCTAGACCCATGTCTAAGTCAATGAGACTGCCTGACGACGCTCGGTTGTTGACTGGGGAGGGAACCGCAAGGTCATTGAACTGCGCCGAAGGCTGGATTGGCTCTGTCGGAGGGTGGATCAGGCGGCTGGTACTTGGCCCTTGGTCATCGTTGAACGGAAATCTGAACATTTCGGGGTTTGCTGAGGCGGGAGGGGCCATGGAGGGGAACTTCCAATCTCGTGTTCTGCGGTTGTTGTTCATCATATCTGCTGGATCACTAAGTGGTGGTTTATTATAGGAGACATCTCCAAAGTCATAGTCGGTCGATGCTCTGGGATCTCCAGCTCTGATTGTGTTCAGGTCAACAAATTCGGAGAGGTTGCTACCATCTAGGGACATGTCAAGATCAATCAGGGATTCTCTCACTCCAGGGGACTGAGATGAGTCGTCTCTTAGCGGTAAATCCGACGCAGGAGGGGGGGGTGGAGGGGTGAAATCGGCAGTAGGCGGAGGAAACGGACGACCATAATATGCTCGTGAGTTATCCTCGTAGTTCGATATCGTATTTGGGTCAAATAGCTTTTCTAGTGGTGCCTTGACGGAAGGAAGGTGAGGTGGCGGACGTCGACGTGATTTTGGCTTTTGGGTTCTAGAAGCATCGTCGAATTCATCCTGCTTGAAGTCGACGTTGGAGCCATAAACATCAAACACAGCTTGAGCGTCGCCAGTTTGGAGCACCTGTTGATCGAACGCAGCGGTTGTACTGAAGTTCCACTCATCATTGTCCAAGGCCAGGCTAGCGAGGTCAGATGGCCCTTGGGCTCCTCCTGCGGAGAAGAGAGACTTGCGAACACCACCTTGAGCTTCCCACAACTTGTAGCCTCTAACCAAGTGTGCCAAGCTCGAAGCAGGATAAGCATCCTGTGTGTTGAATATGTAACGGTGTCTCTGAATTTGCTCAATTGGTGGGCGTTTCTTAGGGTCATCAACCAAGCAATACGCCACGAGGTCCTTCAACCCTTGGGAATATCGGTCGCCTTCAAGTCGAGGGATGTGTTGTTTGAGGTATGAGCCTAGTCTGTTGAAGTCCATCATGCCTGCAGCTACGCTTGGTGGTAGACCCGATGCAATTTCATAGACCATGGCGCCAAAAGCCCATATATCCACCTCAGTACCATAAGAAGCCGCAGGGTCGAACAGTTCTGGGGCCATCCAATGGGGTGTACCAATGACTGTTGAGCGCTTGTCGAATTTGGTTTCGATAACACCAGCAACTCCAAAATCACAAAGCTGAACGTTTCCCTCCTCCGTGACTAAGATATTGGCACACTTGATGTCTCTGTGGATGATACCCTGGCCGTGAACCCAGTAGACAGCTTCGGCCACTTCGCGCAAAATGGGAATAATCCATTTCTCCTGAAGGCCGCCTGGTGAGGTTGGTTTCATAAGGGTAGCCACGCTGCCTCCAGCGCAGTATTCTGTAATCATCCACATGGACTGCCCGACAGGAAGAGCATCGATAACATGATTGATGTTCTTGGCGCCACTGTTGCTGAGCAGTTGCAGGGCACTAATTTCCTTGAGCAAGTCGCTATATGTATCGGCGAGCTTGGGGTTAACTGTGTCACTCTCTTCAATGTCAATGATCTTGACGGCAACCAGCTGATTCGTTGTTAGAGAGGTGGCCTTGTAGACCCGACCAAAACTGCCTTTGCCAATGAGCTCTGAAAGTCGATACTGTGGAGGGTCCTTTCCGACTTTTGAGCACTGCTCGGCAACCACTTTTTGCATTTTCTTTGCATCTTCAATCGCTTTCTGCTTTGTGACCGAAAAGTCCGGTCCTCTGACTTGGAGCGACGCCATGATGATGAATGTTGTGAGGCCTGTCTCGGGTTGCTTAGCAGGGGATGTGTAACTAAGCTAAGATCGCTTGAGCTTGATATGCCTGGTTGGTTCACTTCATGATAGCCTGGACATGTGATGCAAGTGAGAGGAGATGGAAATTGGACTGAGTGCGAGCTATGAGAAAGAAGGCGAGGAGTGATGAGTGGAGGTGAGTTTTTGGCGATGTCGAAAGCGTTGAATGAATTGGGTTTGTTGTAACATTCAATGTTGCATATTTGGAAAGGGGCCTTTGACGCTTTCCCTAAGTTACAGGTCACGGTGGTAGCCAATGAGCGGACTTAACAACGCTGTGGCGGGGCAGTCTTGGGTGGCTAATGCGAAAAGACAGCCTCATCTCCAATTCCCTTCAGTTGGGCGCTGTGTTGGCGTTGGCGGCCAATTGCAATCATGATACGACGATGAAACTAGAACTGTCACATTCCGAGCAAGATACAATAATTTGTCATTAAGAAGGTCAATTCTCATAGGTAATTTATTATCCTTTGAAATACCTTTCAGTCGTGTGTCTGACGTTTGTCCTTATCTCAATTTCTTTTATCGTTATTGCTGAGTCGGGTGTCTTATTACCCAACACCAAGTTTACCTTGATCAGAATTGAACAGTTCGCATAACGACAATCATCATATTGAAGATTTCTACATCCCCCTAACACACAATATCTCTTTGCGATCACATCCATCACGGAATTCGGACAAGGCGACTCACTTCACCAACCATGTTTCAGACAACCGCCCAGATACAGCACACGTCGCCTATCTCCTCGACTACTGCAGCCCCAAAGGCCATAGAGATGCTCCACGATCATGTTTTCTTCTTACAGTGTAATCCTTATATGTCCAAATTCGAAGCCATACCCACCCCGGACCCTACTCCATCGATTCCTGACACACTTGAGGTCAGGCCTATCGCAGCACCAGACTGTTATTCGGTCACAGACCGAATTCATACCTTGCCAGCAGGGCTCTGGGACTCCGATGTGATTAGTTCATATGAGTTTTTTGACCTGGAAAGCGGTGTGTTTGTGAGAACGCGAGGGCCAATGGGTCTGGTACTTGAGACTGTTTGGAAGATTAAAGAATCTGAGGGTGGAAACCTGGAGATCGTGGAGCAGGTCTCCATTACATGCTCTAGGCTGATCATGGGTATGATCAAAAGCTCGTGTGAGGCTGGATGGAAAGGGGTCCATGGAAAGATGCTTGAGAGGATAGAAGAGTCTTCATAAGCGAATACTTTCAACAATACCCTAAGAACAATAATTGGACGGTAAAGTCAGGTTATGGCCCTGCAGGACGTGGCGATGTCGTACTGGGAGTTGTTTCCTGCCAAAGTCGTGTCTCCAATGCTCACCAACAATGCTGCCAGGCTACCTCGACTAGCTCTAGGACCGGAGTTCACGATAGATGTAGTACCTATACTCTGACAGAAACCACAGCATATGTACTGACATAAGATACTCTTGTATTGAGCCAATGAGAAAGTATGCGTTCCAGTCTTGTTCTTGCCTCAAATAAGCATCATCCCAGGCAACAGTTATAAACTTCAGCCCCAAGCAGGCAACAACAGGAACCTAACAACCCAAGTGAGTTATACCTTTTTCTTAGATTGGCCACCTGCCAAAGCGGCAAAGCCAGCTCATTATTTACAGGTTGCAGCCAAGCTTCTGCCTAAATAACTTTACCCTCGTGAGTCACTCTTAAAGTTCAACCTCAATGTCAAGGCCATCATGATCATACCGGCCGGGTATAAAAGGAGCGCCTCCTCCAAAGTTTTCTATTTGCTTTCCTTTCTTCTTCACCTTCTTCTTTGCCGTAAGGCTCGGATCAAAGTGTAGTAACTGTTCTTGTTGAGGCTAACCCCTCAACACGGGTCGTATACTGGCTCGATACTGCTCTAATTTTTTGGATTATTGGTGATGGCTCAACGGCGCTTGCGTGGTTGAATCGTTTCCAGGGTGTCCTTGGTATTACACTGTCTCCAAGCGATGCGCACATGTTTGTGTCTCACGGTACATTCATCATTATGCTTTCATTGCATCTTGGCTGGTATATCCAGCGGTGCGAAGAAGGTCACTTCCGCTGCAAATAGGTATTGTATTACTATACATTGAGAGCAGCTGAAGTTCAATGGAGAGAGAGTTGTGAAGGGCTGTTGCACATTCCTCACAACCGAACTTTGCTGGATGGTAGACCAAAGTTCAGATCCACGTCGAAATAAATAAATTCTCGCGATTTGTCTATCGAGGGGGAATAGCATATTTGCGTACCGTGATTTGGGAAATTAAGAATGAATGTGGACTGAATTTTTGTCAGAAGCTGCACCAAAAGAAAAATGTAGCCGTGAACACTGAAATAACCCTGTGGTCTTAGGCATTGTACCAAGTTAGAGAGAGGCGTTGCGAAGACGCAGCCATGGATTTGCTATGTACTATCGTCACGTGATCGCGCGACACCCACTTTGCCACCCATCGCGCTTTCGCGTTAAGATGTTCAAAGCATCCCACTTCATTTTCGGTTGGCTGCTGATTTTCCAGGACATCTTTGCATGCATTCTTTGCCTTCTGCTCATTGTCTTGACGACAACTAAAGGACCTGGGCCTCTTTCTCAGTCCTCCATTCCGCCCAAGACAAAGTCAATACTCACTATTTTACTGGCTATCACCATGGTGGCACCGAAAAAGTCCAGCCAGTCTCATACACCGAAGAAGACTACCTCGCATTTACCCAAAAAGCCAGTCAAGGCCAATCAAAGTATCCTTAGCTTTTTTAAAAAGGCTGAAAAACATGAGGCCTCTCTGTTTCTTGGGGCTGCGCCGGACCCTATTGAGCACGAAGATCTCTACACTGCCGATGACGCCGACGACTCGATCCGATGCAATGAGACCGAATCGCCCAACAAAAAGCGGAAACTGGGAGAAGAACCCGAGCAATTTCCCAAGATAAACGTCTCAGTAAAAGTTGAACAGGTGGCCGTGGCTGAAGACCGACCCTCACCCGCCAAGGGCGATGGCGAACCCCCACGGAAGTCAATAAAATCCAAGATCAAGACTCCATTCGTAATGGACTCGGACAGTGAGGATGAGCCCGAAGACGATTCCATGGCCACAAACAACAAGCCTGAAAAGAATGGCCAATGTACGGAGCTTTCCCCGCAAAACGAGGTCCAGACGGACGGTTTTACTAAAATCGATGAAAAGAAGGAAGCAGATATTACCACACAAGCCTTGAAACGGGAAGATTCAACATACCAACAATCCGACGATCTTGGAGAAATAGTAGACGAGGAGTTCCCAGATCTGAACGATCTCGAAGGGGAGGAAATGCGAGTAATGCGCTACATGAGAGAGCAAGCTAGGTTAGAAGCGGAGGAAGCTGGGATTTCAAGCGAAGACCTGGCCGATGACCCCCTTGACGATGATCATATGACAGAGTGCTGTCCTATATGCAGCGGGAGCCTGGCTGGGATCTCCATCGATGAAGCAACACGGCATGTCAACTCCTGCCTCGATGGACACCCGATCCCGTTGCCAAAACCGGAGCAAACAACACCAGAACGAATCAAGTCGGAGAAACCAACTTCAGCGATCCTTGTCTCGACACCTGAAGTCGAACCGACCGATGTTAGCAAAAGATTTGCACGGGCTGCTGTTCCCAGGCCCGGTCAGGCGAACCCTTTCGAAGTTATAAGTCCTGGCCCGGCACCGAAGTCTGCTTTCTCGAAACTCATGTCCAATAATGCCGAAGATTCAGCATGGCAAGAGGCTGCTGCTGCTGAGCACGCTTCTCGAGGAAAGCAAGCATACGAGAGGACGTGCCCTTTCTACAAGATCATGCCCGGATTTTCCATCTGCGTGGACGCTTTCCGGTATGGCGCCGTCCAGGGTTGCAAAGCATATTTCTTGAGTCATTTTCACAGTGACCACTATATCGGTCTTACAGCAAGATGGTGTCACGGCCCTATATACTGCAGCAAAGTCACAGGCAGTCTTGTCAGAAATCAACTTCGTACAGCGGCAAAATGGGTTGTGGAGCTTGAATTCGACAAATCCTATGACATACCAGGGACAGAAGGCGCGAAAGTAACGATGATACCAGCAAATCATTGTCCTGGAAGTTCTCTCTTCCTTTTTGAAAAGACTATGAAGCAAGACCCCAACAGCCGTGTTCAACGCATATTACATTGTGGAGACTTCCGTGCTTGCCCTGCTCATGTCAAGCATCCTCTCCTCAAGCCAGAGACTCTCGATGCGATCTCCGGAAAGGCCAAGCAACAAAAGATTGATATCTGCTACTTGGACACCACGTATCTCAATCCACGATATTCTTTTCCACCCCAGAACGATGTTATCAAGGCCTGCGCCGATCTTTGTGGCTCATTGTCTCCTGATCCCAACTGCAAAGACGATATTTGGGAAAAGGCTAGCGGACAAGGGACTCCAGCAGTCAGCAAGTTCTTCCCAAACACAAAACCGGATGAGAACGCAAAAGTCGACACCAAAAAGAAACACCCTCAACGGCTGCTCGTAATTTGCGGCACGTACTCTATTGGAAAAGAACGCATATGCATCTCCATTGCCAAAGCACTCAAGTCCAAAATCTTTGCATCGCCTGGCAAGATCAAGATCTGCAAACAGCTGGACGACCCAGAGCTCACGGCGCTCCTTACATCTGATCCCCTCGAGGCACAGGTGCATATGCAGATGTTGATGGAGATCCGTGCAGAAACTCTCCAAGAATACCTAAATAGCTATAAGCCGTACTTTAGTCGTATTGTGGGACTTCGGCCAAGTGGTTGGAACTTCCGACCAGCAAGCAAAACCATCGGTGCGAACACACCACCTGGCAGCATTCATACTCAGCAGATCCTTCACGACAAGGGCTGGCGAACACGATTTGGATATAAAGATTTTATTCCGCAGAGAGGCAGTACCAAGGAAGCCATGTGCTTTGGGGTTCCTTACTCAGAACACAGCAGCTTTCGAGAGCTCGCCATGTTTGTTATGAGTCTGAGAATAGAGAAAGTCATCCCAACAGTCAATGTAGGGAGTGAACAGTCAAGAAAGCGCATGAAGGCTTGGATAGACCGCTGGCTTTCGGAAAGAAGGCGGGCTGGATTGGTGATGCCACTCATTGAAGGTGACGACGATGATAAGGTGTCGGAGAAGGAACTCTGGGATGGTAAACCTGGTAAAATCGGCGGAGCTTTTTGGTGATCAATTATGATGTGGAGCGATTTGTATAGTATCCTCTTGAGCGGGAGTTCCATCTGATGACCTGTAATTTTTAGATACCATGTTGACACATCAACGTCAATCGTTTCATGACCCTCGGTTCTGTATGATGTTTAAAAGGGAAAAGAAGAGTATTTCATTATCCACATCAGGAGCAAACGCCTCATGAATTCTCCCTTGTGATCATCCCGGTTTCGATGCAATTATCATTCTCTCCATTTAGTAAGAGTCAACTCCGACATGGTTTATCCTGCCTCTCATCCATCGCCTTGAACCGCTCATTTCGCCTTGGCTTGCTGAGCTGCCGCTTCTGCAACACACTTGTTAGTATACCGTATTGACTTTCTTTGAAAACGCAACTTACCCCTCCGTGTAGCATCCTCCAGCAGCTGTGTGTCAACTGACGCGCCGGGAAGATGAACGTATCTCACAACTGAGCCTCGGATAAAGACGTTCTTGACAGAGCTCTGCGATAATATTAAGTCAGATATCTAGTTTCTTTCACAACGCCCAGGATAAGGGTATACTCGACATACAAGATGAGGGTACTTGAGCTCCTCAACAACCTGAATGTCATCGAGCTTGATGTTGAGGTACTGATCCACACTCTTGAGAATTCCCTTTAGCTGAATGTCGTTCTTGAGCTCTACAGTGACCTCATGGTCGATGAGTGTCTTGAAAAAGCTGTATGAATAGCGTGTCAGTGTGCGAACAAGGGCGTTAACCACACAGAAGATAGTTCGATGGTACCTAAAAAAGAGCATGGTGTCGGTGGCTTTTTCGCGCTTGAGAGCCGGATAAATCGATTATTTTAGGGGGGGTGTCACGAGTGCTCGTCTTGTAGTTGAAATCGGTTTTGTATCTCGAGCGAGTTTCTGTATCGAGGAAGGCGCTTAGATGTTTGTTTGGTGGTGCAAGATCTCCATCATGATAGCGTCTACAGCCAAGGCATCGTTGACTATGATCACGTGACTGTTCATGATTCACCAGCAACTCACGCAATGATCTCGAATCAACAGTAATTCATCAATGGTTTCTTTAATCTGTGGCTTGTTTACATGGATATCTCTTTGGCATTCATACGTCTGTTTGGATGAAGAATCATGCTCAGGTAGTTCTTATTGTCTTCTAAATAAAACCAGCTGGCCACGTACACAAGACTGACTGAAAGCCAATCCATTCGCGCTGCAGGTAAGACTTGTAAATAATCATACGTCTTTATAGACCTCAAATCCCCGGTTTAATCTTTGGCGGGTTCTCGTGTCCTCTTCTTAGCAACAAACGTCCGACCCTCCTCACACGATTCCCCTTCCTTGCCTTCAATAAGCAAAAGCCTCCATGTACAACCACGCTATGTATATCAACAGTGTATGGATCCTATCATTTCAACGCCTTGCAAGACTGGAAAATGCCGATTCGTTTTCTTTCGTGATTCGTGAGATTGAGCTTCGTAGTCTACGCTACATAGCGATATAGAGTTGGCGCGCCATCCTCATCAGGGCGCTCAAGATATTCTCTTGCGATGAGATCCTCGATACGCTTTTTGATGAGGGCAACCTCGGGGCGGAAACGGCCGGAGAGTTGTGACAGAACTTCACTAGTGAGCTGCGAGTGAGAAAGCTCCTTTCGAGATCTGCGAGAATTAGTAACTAAAGCTAGCAATAAGACTTAGACTTGGGACTTACTTCATGATTCGCACAATTGCCGCATCAACAATGTGAGCTCTGGTTTGGTTGTTCTTCTCCTCGGTATTTTTTCGTTCCGTGTTATCTTCGACCTTGGACACCGCGTTAATGATGGGTGCCTTGATTCGTATGGTCTTGCTCTGGAAAGATGCATTGAAAGAAAACTTATCGCCGACTTTCACGGACTTGTTGGCAGGGTCCTTCATCAAGACGCGAGACTTGGGTGCCACAGCAATAGCTGTCAGCGTCCTCATGAGATCTGGAGTTGAGATGTTGGTCTTAGCTTGGATCTCTTCGAAGGTTAATGACTGGCCCTCCTCAAGATCGTTGAAGAGAAGCAAGACAACCATCGCAAAAGTCGGTACGTTGATCTCATATCTTCGCTCCCGAGAGAGCGGGCCAGACTTTCCAGGGATGGCCGGGAAAGTACATTTGACATCTGAACTGCCAGTGGTACCAATCCAGGTGAGCTTGCGTCCATTACGGTTAGTTAAATAGTACTGCTCAAAGCTCGCCTGCAATCGTCGCAGTTCAGGAGGGTACGTGCACGTAACACGAGATCCTTCACCAATCTGTGTAGTTCGGCCCATGACCTCGGGTGGCCAGTAGTTTGTAGTGAGAACGTTGATGTTAAGGTCGATGGTTTTGCCGCTGCCATCTCCCAGGTCACGAATGTGGTCACGATAGCCGCTGGTGAGTTCTGTTGACGTGACAAGATCTCTGAACATGCCTTCAAACTTGCTGGTGAACTGTTGGCCCAGTTCTTGTTTCATTCGGGAAATGATCTGCTTTTCGACATCATGGCTTTCGGACTTTCCGTGAAGGAGACGTCTTGCCAGATGTCTCTGGTAGTATGTCTGGAACAGATCTCTATCCTGGAGGTATCGAATCAGGACGATGGCTTTCTCTAGAACGACATCGACTTCTGCCTCTGTCTTGCCTTTGATGCCTCTCTTGAGGTTGTCGTCGATGAACAGAGAGACATACTCAGAGCTGCGGCTGAACATGTTGATAAAGTCAGAGAAGCTCTTGGTCAATGCGCTTTGAATGATAAGATCTCTTTGAAAGCAACGAGCCCAGAGGTTATCAAACTTGTCCTTCAGACGGAGTACATCGTCTACCCATTTGATGGCAGCAGCTGTCTGCTGCGCCGCGGGGTTTAAGGTCTTTGTCTTTTCCCCTTCACCGGCCTCGTCTCCTTCGCCATGACCAGACGAGAAATCAGTGTTCTTCAGTACCTTCTCAATCTCCAGGCCTAGCTCAACCACGCGACTTTGCAAAATGTCTCGTAAAGCAGTCTTCTTTGAATCAACCCTGGAGATGAGTTTGTAGAGAATCGAGAGGTCGTCAATCTTGTCATTGTCAATCATCCATTTCAGGCCACTCCCTTCAAGAGCCAAAAATTCGGACAGATGCTTGACTATGAGTTCTTGATCAATAGTTTGCGTGACTTTTGGTAATGTCTCTAACTCGATTGTTGTTCCGCATCGATCGATTTCTTCGTTCAGTCGCAGTTGGGTGTGTCGCAACCAGGCTCCGGCATCCGATTCGCGTAGTAGTTTCTCACACTCGGTGGCATAGTATGTCTTGCTGTTCTCGAGGAAGCGAGGTTCAAATACTGTCATGTACAGTTTATCGGTTTCCTTCTCTTCTTCGGTTTCGTAGAGGCTGCTGAGCATTCGACTGCAGCTTCGAATGAGATTTCTGTCGATGATGTCTCCTTCGCGCTCCATATCGATCTGGTCGAGGACCACTGATATAAGGATGTCGATCACCTTGCTCTTTGTGTTCGTGTTCAGCGAAGATCGTAGAATATGATCACGGAAAAGCGCGATGGTGGTGGCGAAAATGGGGGTTCGTTGGGCTTCGAGCTGCGCGTAGCCCCTATCAAGATACATGAGAATATCGGCGGTCATGTTCATAGACATGTTATGATCTTCCCAAGTATCACGCAGCCCTTTGAGGAATCTCTCTCCTGTCTGCCGTCTCTCGTTGACGGACGTCGTCGAGGTTCGTTCGGCGCCAATGTTGATCAGGCTCTTGCTGACCAGTTCTCGAATCTTGGGAATGACATGATCTGCGAACCACTGTTCCTCGAAAGCTTTGACCCTATCATAAAGCAATTCGCCTTTCTTCTTAAGTACCATCTTGTACGCGGCTCGGTACAGTTCCTCGAATGACAGTCGGCTGCAGTTCTTCATGTGGATGTCGCGCAGGGCTTCCTCTAGCATCTTCCAGCAAGCCTCGAAATCGGAACCCTCGGCAGATTCATTTGGCTAAAGGCGAGGTCTTAATTCAGGATTAGATACTAACGTTTCAGTGCATCGAACTTACACGCACAATGCGACGAGGAGGACGAATCCTTCCCCGAGCGCCGGCTCCTCCACGTCCCGAGATCATACTTTATGGCAATACAGCCTGGCGATATCGCCCCAGGTAAAGAATTTCGGGATGTCGTAGGTTTTTATGTTTCTTAGTGAAGAATGGAGCTCTGATGCGTTTTCCGCGTTGATGCTGAGCCTTGAATATGGTGGGGTAATGATGGATGCAAGTCGTAGGCTCAGGCGGGGCGCAGTGAATGGCGAAATCGGCGAATAAACAAAGGAACAAGCAAAGACTAAGTTAAAGAAAAAATTTAGGCGATAAACCTCCAGGCACCAGGTAGAAAGAAGGTAAAGAAAAAGAGGGAAACCCCGGGGCATTGGTAAGGCACGCTTTGAGAGATGGCAAGCTCAAGTTGGTGAGGCTGCAATTTATGGCTTCTGGATCCATGGTTTGGTAGTTCAACCCCAGGCTCCGTTATCGATAAGCTATATGTACACCAATGATGCAACCTGTATGGGGAACTAACCAAACACCGAGCTTCGCAGCACGAGGTCACGTGGGGATAATGCCTGGAGCTCCGACCCTCGATTTTTCCGACCGACAATTCAAGCGGCCTTGCTCGATAGCCAGCCTCTCAGCCTCACGCCAAATCGATCCCACGACGACGCGCCTAAAAACCGCCGACTTCACCCCCGATCAATTATACAGCAGTTTAAGCGCCTAAACCCTCTCAAATAGCCAACATGAAGCTGGTTCGGTAAGAACTCGCCCTGTCTCTTGCGCACACTTGGATTGTGCTGAGCTTCTTGTTAAGTTTGAGCTTCCGTACTGACTTGGCACGACTAGTTTTCTTATGAAATGCGCCAACGAAACGGTGACAATTGAGTTGAAAAATGGTAACACATTGCTCCTTACCCCTGAGCGAGCTTACAGCCATGCGAGCAGCCGTGTACTAATTGTCGTCTAGGAACCATTGTTCATGGCACTATTTCCTCAGTCTCTCCCCAGATGAACACCGCCCTCCGCACCGTCAAGATGACCATCAAGGGGCAGGAGCCCATCTCCCTCGAGACCATGAATATTCGAGGTTCTACAATCCGATATTTCATCCTGCCCGACTCTTTACCCCTCGACACACTGCTTATCGACGACGCACCTAAGCCCAAGAACAAGGCACGAAAGGAGGCCGAGCGGGGCGGACGGGGAGGACGAGGCAGAGGCGGTCCCAGGGGACGCGGGCGTGGTGGAGGCCGCGGTCGCGGAGGACGGCCTTAGAGTGGACGGCCCTAAACGAGAAGGTCACGGGAAGATTTAGGAGAAACGACAAGATAGGGAAAGGATGGAAGCGCACATGCGCGTCGTTAATGTGGAGTGACCACGTTATCGCGAAGATATCACATTCAAATGGAACCTGGCGTTCGGGTTGTTTGGCCATTAAAACTGTATGAACCCGCTTGGGGTGGGTATCGCTTTTCTTGTTGTGGAAAGATATCTGAATATATGCTCTCACACGCCCCAATTCCATTGCAACATCTTTTTTTATTCTACGGCTTTTGAATAGTCTCGCCATATCCGTACGATCTGCAGCTTTTCCCATCCGGCCTGTTTGCCGCTGTTCCCAACAGTTCGAGCCCGCCATTCAGGCCCAAACCCCTCGATGCGACTCTTGACTTGATCTGGCTTATTTTGAGCGCATAGGAGGAGGTAGGCACAACCGCGTCGGGACAGGGTTTGGGGTAGTGCCTCGATCAGTCTATCTGTTGTCTCCATACCATCTAAGCCGCCTGCGTAAGATAAGGCCAGCAGATACGAATCGTCGTCAAATGAAGGCTTTGTGCTGACTGCAAGGTCGTCTGCGGTAAACGAATCTGGTCTGGCAGGCATCTCAGGGGTGGGCACATATGGCGGGTTGAAAATGAGGACGTCAATGGTGCCCTCGCGCCATGGGGTTGTGAGATCTCCCATGCACGAGCCCAGATAGAATGCATGTGAGTCGGGGTTGTCAGAAGCTGCCTTTGCAACTGTCCCGACTGTAGCCCGACACGCAAAGGCGTTCATGTCAACTCCCGCAGTAAGGACCTCGCGCGTGCCAAAAAGCTTTTGCGCATGTGCGTGGACAAAAGCGAGGACGACGCCTGAGCCTGTGCCGACCTCCACCACGAGAGGCGCTATATCGGGAAAAGCCTTTTGGAGATACTCGGTCTCTGCAGCAGATGAGAGCGTGTCCAAGAGGAGGTATGAGTCCTCGGCAGGTTCGTAGACTCGCTCGTATGGGACGTGCGAAGTGTCTGGTGTTGGTAGCATGATGTATGCCTGTCAATGTGAAAATACGTTGTGGTTGTGGTGAGGCTTCATGGTTAGATTATAGATAGAAAACTTGTGATGACACTGGGTGGATGCGGCACGTGATGTATGTCCTTAGAATCAAGAAATTGAGACTAAATAGTTAATAGGAACAAAATACGGATATAAAGCTGTTGTTGGTGGACCGCGAATCTCTGGATCATGGCAGAGTGGTAACGGGCTCAGCTTCGAACTGGTCGCCTTTTGTTGGGTTGGAAAGGACATACATATCTGATTCACTTGCATCAGTATGGATGGATATCTTGGGGGTGCATGAACCAGGCAGCAGAAACCTACAGTTGTTGATCGAGGTATTCCCTAATCAAACCAGTATAAAACACCAGAAACTCGAAGCTCGTACTAAAATCCGTCGCAACGATCGCCTCAAAGAATCACACACTTCACCTCGCAACCCCAATCATCCTGTCCTGGCCCAACTCCCCATTTGATTCCCCAGCCCATATCTTCCACCATCCGAACCAAATTACGATCGTATACACCGTGCAGCTGGCATCGAGGACATGGTCGGCTCTTTGTGTTATAGAATTTTGGTGGTTCCTTAGCTGTACCATCACAGAAGGTCGGGCAATTGTTGAGGCCCATGAATGGCTCGCAGGGTTCCGTGAGGATAACCCAGGTGTGTTTGCATTCTTTGTGCTGGAAATATGTGAGAGTGCACATTCTCAGGTGTTCGGAAATCAATCGCAAGAAAAAAAAATGCCTTGGAATTATTGCTGAGGGACAAAGACGAAAAAGAAGTTCTATTCGCAAGGTAGAATAGGAAGGCTGGTTGGCTGTGTGGTGCCAGGATGTTTCCAACAGTGCCAGTTAATCAGTGCTAAAACAAAAGGCTACAACAATAAATTGTATCGCAACGCCCTTCCCTGACTCTCCGCGCGTGCAATTCTGTTTATACTCATACCCAAACACCATGCAATGATCATGACTCAGGATCCGCTAAACCTCTAAATGACGACTCGGCAGTATTGTCTCCCCTAAGTGTCCCGCTTTGCTCCAGTTCATCATCGCTGATGGCATCTTCGACTGATGGAACTAGGCGAGATAGCATCGTTTCCATGCGCCGTATCGCCTTTTCCATATTGGCCAGCCTATCTGTAGTTCCCTCAAACATGTCATTCTCGGAGAAAGATCCTCGAAGCTTCTGGGGTGGGATACCGGGAAACATAGAATCCCGTCGTGATGGACGTCGAGCTCCGGGATCAGGCCTAGGGGTGTTATGTAGGTTGCGGGGCTCTATATCATTTGTCGCATTGCGTGTGAACTGTCGACGGATGAGATGATGCGTGAGATCATCATCGACAGCGATGTCGTCGTGGACAGTATCAGGCGGCGGCACTTGAAAGACGGCGCGAAGGTCTCGGTGAACCGTCAACCGCCACTTCTTCCAAAACTGGCTCTTTGTTGGGGGCGGAGCTTTGATCTCGGTTGGGTCTTCGATCTCACGGGAAGGCCAGAGCAGACGGCGCTCGGCAACAGCGATGATGAGCAAGAGAGGGAGATTCAGAATCTTGACCGCTGTGACGTGGATCTTGTGGAACCAGCGCGGACTCACGACGAATTTAAGTGGGATGAATAGGAATACGGCGAGGATGTTGAACGGGGGTTGGTATGCGAACACAGCGTCAGCCTTGACGCCCTCAAGTGTCAGAACTGCTCGACGGAAACTGATCTCCGCTATGGCGTTTGACGAAATGTTGCTGAATGTATTGGAAAGCATCGATACAAGGATGGTAAGGAAGAGGGTGTTCCCGAGGAAAGCGAAGGCTACCATCACACTAGGTCCTAGCAGCCAGTGAAACTCGGTCTCGTAGAGATGTCAGAATTTGTCAAGCGTACGGGGGGAGACGAAGACTGACCGATCGATGGATACCTGTTCCATCCAATCCAAACCAGATATAGATCATCCACTTCGATATTGTTCTGATGCATATTAGTACCACGTTTCACCAAGGTGGTACAGGAACCTACAGGATGGGGTGTGCTCCCTCGCCGAGCCATAGAAGTGACAGCAGGAACCCCAAGAAACACCAAGCAGATAGAGCTGTCAGGAAGAAAAAGTCCGCCATCATTGACCTAAGGGACAAGAACACGAGATTGTCGCTCAGCAGATTGAAAGCAAGCCGCGGAACCAAGACAGGAGCGGCGAGTGCAAGCACATCAAACGCCTGTTCGTCAAGGTTCGCGTCACCAAGCTTCCAGCCCAAGAACCGCAATACAAGATATACCCAGTAGATGAGAACAAAGGCCACGTCAAGGAATGACCACAGGTTCTGGGTGTAGACGTTCCTTTTGAAAGGTTAGTACTTGAGCGACAACACGACTAGAAAGTCTGTAGCATACCAGCCATGTGCTAGAATAGTAGCAAATTGATCCAAGCCCCATCCAAAAGCAAAGATAGAAAAGGCTGCTTCTGTTGGTCCATAGCGGGTTTTCCTTCTAAGAACCATAACCGCAACGTAGAGAGTGAGGAGCGTGGCGAATTGGATTGACTCGAGGACATTTCGGGTTCGAGGGACAATCAGACGATATTGGTTGAGAAGAGGGGACTCGCGAGGGTCATAAATAGAGATGGGCTTTAACTTGTAATGATCAGGGATGATGTCCCAAAATGTCGAGGGGGTATAGACAATTCGACCCTCATAGATGGCGTTGACGACTTTTTGGCAAGTTGCTGAACTCAAGAAATGCTTGCTCTCTGTGACAATGGCCACCTCAAGAGATGGCAGCGTCTTGTAATCAACCCAGGAGGTGGTGCGCTCTGCCTCCTCTCGAATCTCTTCTGGGGCATTCTGGAAGGGTTCAAAGCCAGCGACTAGAATATGAGCCAGAAGCAAAAGGCCGTCGTGGCCATCATCATGCACTTCACCAAAGCGTCTCAGGATGCGCGTAGCTATGAGCTCACAGAGAGTAGCACGTGTGAAGTTGACATTGTGACGGTTATTGAGATGGGACTGCTCTTCGAGAAACTGAGCACGATTTACCAGCAAACAGTAGACTATCAGATCATATCAGTAAAGGGCCTTCAAAAGGGGTGAACAGCACTTCTCTTACTGATGGAAATGTCGTTGAGGCCATAGAACTTATCAACCAACGGCCGCACAACTGTAACATTAATTCTCAGATCCTGCAGCTGGGCGAGGCTCAGATAGTCCTCAACAACGCTGATGATGTCGCGACGAATACGGTGTATGTTGGTATACACAGGTAAGTGACTATGAGGGTCTGTCATGCAACTATACAGGGCATCACGGTTCTCTGGGCCGCCTGTACTGAGCCGACTCAGTAAAGGCCGCCGTTCTTCAGGATCCGGCAACGTGATGCGCCGGCGGGTGTTGCCAGCCATGAAAAGGCCAGTCAGCAATCCTATAGTAGTAATACTTAAGGGAGGGACAAGGTCAGGACAAAGAGGATGAACTGCAGTTATCGCGTTGTCGGTGATGATTTAAATCAAGTTTTGTCCCTTTTCGGCGTAGCGAGCGATAAGATAGGATGATTTGAAACGCCCCAGAGGTCATGTAAAGGCGCTATTGGATAGATACAGGGACCTGGTGGTTTGCGAAGAGGGGACAGAGGTAATTGATCAATGCCACGGGTGATATCAGCATTTGAAGTATAGGCATATCCTCAATTTCAGGTTGTGAGGGAGGAATTGTTTACAGAAGTGCAACGTCATTAGACTAAACGCTTGGCCCATTGGAGCGTTTCGGATCTGAATCTTGGGGGTGCTGCTTCTAAAACACCAGTGATTGGATCATACCAACCCCAAGATGTTAATGCCTTGATTATTTCTCTGGCGGAAACAAATGGAAGGGGGTTCTTTATAAAGTGGTAGTGACTTGGCAATCCGTCTCTTTCTTTATTTTATCTGACATCTAACAAACTTATACTATATCCACTTGAGCTTGCCCTTGGACTGTCTGAAGCCTAGATCTGCACATGGGACACTAATCTCAGACATTCCGCGCATTACAACAATGCAAATCCTACAGTTTCGCCCCAGTCTCATCCGCACCAGCCTCTTTAGCCAATTCCCAAGCGAACTTTGCCAAAGATCCCCTCGTCACAGCGTGCTGTTTCGCTTTCTCGCTACTCGCCTGTCTGAGCGCATATCGCGCCGCAATTCCTTGACAAACTCCAGCCAGCTTCCAGATGCTGAACGACATTCCCCATGGAACCTCTGGCCGGGGATCGTATCCACTCTCCTCTGTGTACCACTCCAGGATCTTCTCTGGTTGTGGAAGACCAGGCGTCTTGCCGGGAAGGAATCCGGATGCATCATAAGGAGTCGCACCAGGGGATTTGGCCGAGTAGAAGTTTATGAGAAAGTTGCAAATGTCGGAGAGCGGGTGGCCAACAGTAGACATCTCCCAACTGTGGAATATGTTTTAGTAACTGACTTCGAGTTGGGAAAGGTGAGCATACTCCAAGATTCCGATGACCCTTGGTTCAGTCTTGTGAAATACCAAATTGTCAATCTTATAGTCTCCATGTACCAGTGTTGCCCGGTCCTTGGGTTGCAGACGCTCGTTCTTGAAGAAGCGAACCGTTTCCTCAAAGTGGGGGAGCTTCCCAACAGGCTCCTTGGTCTCAATGTCGACGGCCTTCTCCTGGCTACCACAGATAGTTACCCACGTGTTGATCTGTCGCGAATAGAAACCTGACGGTTTGCCAAACTTCTCCAGACCGACCTTCTTGTAGTCAACTGCATGGAACCGTGCCAATGTTATCACGGCATCACGCCACATAGCCTCACGTTCGGCGGGTTGTACGCCTGGCATGGTAAAGTCTTCAAAGATACGTCCATCGAGAAACTCCATGATATAGAACGGCGTGCCAATAACAGAGTCATCTTCGCATAGACAGTACGTTTTGGGTACAGCAACATCAGTGTTCTCCAAAGCATGCATGATGCGATATTCGCGCTCAACTTTGTGGGCTGTCTTGGAAAGGAGCTTTCCAGGTGGCTTCTTGCGCATCACAAAGCGTTGGCCATCTGAAGCAGTAATCTGGTATGTAGGATTGGATTGGCCGAAACCAAACTGTGTGGCATCAGCAGCCATCACACTGAGAAGAGCACGAGCAGAGCGCTCACCTGTTTGAGATCAATCGGCGTTTTGATGGTTGGGACATGCTCAGAAATGTATTTCTCAAGCGCCGCCTCATCGACGGGCTGTCGAATTCTACCAGCCATCCCTAGGACAGTGATGTGGCTATTTTATCAGGTGAGTAGATATAAGAAAGGATGATCGACGGTCGATTCGCTTGTTCAGGGTCACGAGATAGAAGTCGGAGGTTATAAAAGATAAATTGAAGAATGGTTTGGCGGAGCTACGGTTAAATGATGATTGCAATGTTAAGAGTTATTGTACCCCGGATGTGAGAACTGACTCGATGAGCTTACCTTGAACATTTGGCCCCTTGCTAGTCACTAAAGATGCCGAGGTTCAGATCTGGGGAATTACAGACCTTTAGTGGCCCCTCTTCCCCAAGCTCTCCACAATCCCTAGGTTCGTTCGGTTCCTCGGTTCATCTGACGTACCTAGGTCAATGTTCAACAGCTATCTCAATCTTGTTTGTAATCAATCAGGGTTTCGTGCTTCAAGGCATGCCAAGTAACAATTCACCTATATGGATGTAATAATTCAAGTTTTCATTATAAAACTCAAATCCCGTTGTTCATTATCACTGTTCAAGGCCCAAAGCCTACCTAGCTATGATCATCCTGCCACCACTCTTGACATGCCTTGAAGAATAATATCCATCTCATTAACAGACTACTGGCATGCACATATAATCAAGGTTCCGCATAACAGGCTCCCACCGCGGACCAGCCGAAGCAGAATACCGCCGTTCAAGAAACAAGCAAACGGTATATATAAAAGAATAGTCCTTCCTGCTCGCTGATTTCCACCTCACCCATCCATCCATCCATCCATCCATACATCCATATCCGTCTCACCACCACAACGCAAGACATGAAGGAATGCTCATGCCAAAAGGAAACAGACAAATGAAAATTAACAAAAGAAACCATGGTGACAAGCCCTCCTAGTAGCTTCCTGGCCCAAGGTGAAGAGAACAGAATATTCCGTGGTATCAGTATCCATAACGCCAAGCCCCTCCGTCTGATGCGGTCGTAGTACATGGATCAATATGTGTCGAGATGTGTGTGGCTGAGAGTCGTATTGTCATTATAGATCATTTACCAGCCCTTCTTCCTCGCGAAGCGCTTGTTCAACAATGCCAGCACCTTTGGCACGTTGAACTGAACATATTCCAGGTCAAGGTCATCCTGATTGTCCTTTTGCATCTCAAGCAGATCATCAAGCTTGAGATCCAATTCAAGTAGACCCCTATTGCGACCTGTCTTCAAGTTAGCATGCTAGAGTGACAGGAGAACGAGAGTAGCTTACCCTTATAGTGCAATGAAATGACGAATGTTCCAGGTAGTGGACTGGTAAAGTTGAAGTAGATGTTGGCCCGTCTGTTGTCGGGAACATTGCTCTTCTGGATGACACCCTCCTTCTCAAGCTGCTGGTGTGTGAACTTGTACGGACCAAGGACTTGCTGTTTCTGCTGCTTTCTCTTAGTACCCTCGCTCTGTGATCGAACGTTGTGCAGGTAGCTTTTGTAAGTCTCGAGTTGTCCGTTGAGATAGACGTTATGATCACGGATCGTCTTGTAAACCTCTTGCAGCTTCTGGGTCTCAGTGATAACACCCTCTTTGAGTGATCCGAGATGTTGAAGCTCCTGCTCAACTTCGTCCCGAAGTAGGCTGAATTGATCGGCCTTGTCGATAACGCGCAATTCCTGAAGCTGGGATAACAGTTCCATGGCCCGGATACCTTTGCGAACCATTACTGCATCACTGCGATTTGTAGCTGCGGCATCAGCAATGCGTTCTAGTCGCAGTGGTCTTCTGGCTACCCCGCTAGTTGCTGGGATCGATCGCATGACTTGTACGAAAATCGACTTGGCTTCCATGAAATAAACTTCCTCCTGCGTGATATCCAATGCTGCTGTCAGATCGCCGATAGCTGACTCCCATCTACTGAATAAAGGCAAGTTGATAACTCTGTTCTCTTTTCGCGGCAACTGAGGGGGTGATGATCCCAATTCCGACATAATGATAGCAAGGTGCGAATTGTCATCCTTGCACAGCTCGTCATGATGCTTGTCAAGCAACGAGTGCATGGCGTAGACTTCATTGAGGGTAATCTCAAGTTCAAGGTCCTTCTTTGATAGGGCAACATAATTATCCATCTCGAGGCTCTCATAGAAATCCTGGACCTCACAGAGATCGAGCATGAACTTATTGATTCTGTCCTTGTTCTGATGAATGAACGGTTGAAGCTTAGCCATGTACGGCTCCTTGGCGTAGGATGGCTTGTTCGCGAGGTTCTGAAGCATCTTGGCGATATATGTTAGAGTTCGTCTGGGTCGTTCGGCCGGGGTTCCGTCGATAAGCATGTAGGATTTCGGGGTAACGATCGCAGGGTTAATGAAACGCAAAAAGAAGAATCCACCGATCAAGGTACAAATAACCTGGTCATTAGCATCTGGGTATTTGCGCTTGGTTAAGCTCCTGATTTGTTTGCAGATCCAACGGATACCATAAGGCGCTTCCTCGAGGCCCTCAATAATGGTGGTCAAGAAGCCATTAGCAATCTCGGTCAACATGGTTAAGCGGGGCTCAATGATGGCCTGAACCTGAGGGTTCTCGGCGGCTTGTTCGCCAGTGATTCCTTTGGGAAGATGGGGAGGCAGTTGGCCAGTATCCTCTTCGATCTGTTCAATCATTCGCTCGTAGACCTTGAGCGGGTTGATTTCCAGGTCAAGATCTTTCAGCTCGATTAAGCCGTTGATTCTATCAGCAAGCACGGATTTGAGGAAACTTTGACCAGGACCTCTTCGGGTGTATGTAGTCATCATTCGAGAGACGGGCGTATTAGCGCGGAGCAAGGAGGAGTAGTCTGGAGTGTTGTCGAACTGATATGTCAAGACGGACTAGAGCATGTGAGACGTGTATTTCTTTCCAAGGCGTGGAAAACTTACCTGGAACATAGTGAGCAAGAGATGCTCTTCTCGACTCTCGTATTGGTTTCCATAGATAGTGAACATGACAGTCTGAAGGAGCGAATCAATCTCGGACATCGAGACCAGCCTGCAGAGATGTGCAATGTGCCTAGGCTCAGATTGGAGTAGAAACAAAAGGTTTCCGTATTTCTGAGTTTTGTCGTCGTTAGGAAAGACACCCTGCTGCATTTCAAGAGCATCTTCGAGATGGCTGGCAACTTCGTTTTGCTGCAATGCTAATCAGAACTCGTTCACTCCGATGTTGGTTGGAGACGTACCTCTTCCAGGGCCATACGGTTTTGGATAAGCAAAGCGATTCGGGAATCTAGATAGCGCACATCTTTTTCCAAAACGAAGTTCTTCTTTGACTGTGATGAGATCTTAGACTTGAGATCACGCAGCGCCTTTTGTGCTGGAATGAGGTCAGTTGCTTATCCTCTTGAAATGTGCATGTAGGCCCACCTTTGGCAAGCTCATCTTCAATCTGTAGGTCTCCCTCATTGGCAGAAATTGACATGTACAGAGCTGACATCGAGTAACGCTTCGACTGGCGCGCAGAGCGCGAGCCGTCGTAGGAAGACATGGTGTTTTGGCGTGATATAGGCTGGAAAGAGGAGGAGGAGGCGGTAGAAGCTCGAGATGGTGTTTGTAACATGATGGACATAGTGTATTTACTGCAATTTAAGATAACGAGGGTTCAGGCCTGTATGCCTCTAGTCCCAGACAACAAGCAGCAATTGCGCAGGTGCCGAGCCAAAAGCTTCCGCAAATGACCAGAACAGCTAAAGGGCAGCGAGTCAGGTTATCCCAATTACGATGAGTCGAGGTCAAGTGTGGTAGAGAAGGCAACGACCAGTTCGAGGTGAATGACAAGCAGTGAGGCGTAGACGGCGTTCAACGGTTTCGAGGTACAAAAGCGGGTAGTCGAAAAATAACGAATATTGTATCAACGGAAGTATCGACGACGGTTATGAGGCGAGCACGGCGGTTGGAGGCGCGCAACGGCAATACGTTCGCTCAGAAAACAAAGGACAAGAAACAAGCGACGGTGGACAGAGGAGAGGCGGCAACGGTAGCTCAATGGGAGCGACAGTATGTCGCGATGCGAAATTCTGAAAATCCTCGATCTCGCGAGGAGCGCAGGAGGCGTTCAAGGAAGAAAGAAGTGCAAAACGAACAACAGAACGGCGGCAGGTTGATGGTGATAGCGAAAGTGGAGGTAGCGGTGGTGGTGTTGGTGGTGGACAAGGCACAGGCAAGAAGGGGAAGGGGGGCCGTGGGTGATGGAATTGTACAGGCAAGGCAACCAAAAGCGAAGTACCTGAGCTAAAAGGGTACTTGGAGCAGAGTAGTTTAGATAGTGGGCTGCAAGGTACCAGACATGGATCTTGGTGTATTTCCGGACAGATTTATGCACGGCTGAGACGCGGACTTCAGGAGGGAGAGACGGCGCGTGGGACGGTCGGTGGATCGTTGGCGTTCGACGCTGCAGGGTCGTGCGTGCGTTGTGGGCTTGCACTTGTTCGTGTGTGTGTGGGGAGAATAGGAGGAATTAAAGCGAGCGCGAAACAAGCGGCGACGATGAATGAAAGGAGTAATGAACTGCTTTTGACAAGGGAAATGATCGATGCTGAAGAAGAGCTGGAAGAACGGAAGAAGATATCCAGAAGAAAAGTGACAGGAACCTGATAAGTTTGTGTGACTCTAGGTAGAGAACCTGCCTACTACTGTACGTCAGAAAGGAGGCCAAGGAGAAGAAAGTATTAAGGCAAGGTAGGTAGGTAGGAATCAGGGGCAACTAATGTCATGGAAGGTAGGTAAGAAACAAGACTGAGGTGGCAGACCAAGGGAAAGAGGAGGGAGGGAGGGCGAATCAGAGATTCCGACCAGCTACGTGCAGTACAGTACCTATTGATCGGTACCTGAACTGAGATGGGAGACCAATACCGGTAGTGGATGGATGGATGGTGATGATGATGATGCCCAGTCAAGGCGAACTGGGTGGTAACGTCCGTCACCCAAAGACTGGCCACCCCCACAGACCGGCCACCTCACTTTTAACCCAGCCACCCAATTTATATATAATTTAAACAGTCACAACTCTACCAATTTAATTCCAATTAATTTCAAACTAACGCCAATCAATTCAGAATGCCTTCTTTTACTGAAAAAGATATGAGCGCCGCTCTCCAG